CCCGGCCTGTCTATAGCCAGGATGGTGTCCCGCAGCTTGTAGAACCAGGTTCCCTCAAATCGACGGCGTTCTCCAGGGGGTTCCTGTGAAAGTGACGGAGAGAATAGATAAATGCATCCTCTTTGAGTATTCCTGGACATAAAGAGGCAATCCAATATAAAGATTGTTCTCTGTTTTGCGTGCCGCCACAAAAGTGCGAAGACACAGGAGATCGCGTCACATGCCGCAAGAGAGCGTGCAAACGCTGAGGCAAGCACAATTAGGTGTAGAAAGACATATGACCCAATGGCATCCCCCTGAACCCTGCAAACACTGAGCGAGTGATGCTCACTCTAGACGTTTGAGATGGGTATTCCCTTGATGTGCATTACTTGTGCACCTGCAAACTCCTGGTGGAGTGTAAAAGGAATTCTTTGAATGGATGAATGGATAGCAGAGAGAAGGGACCAGCCCTTCGCACTTTGAGCAGCCACCGCCATTCACTCAACAGACGTGACAAAAATTCCAAGGAGAGTGCAGCCAACAGATTAGCAAGTGGCTGCAACCAAGAGTTGTTAGTCAAAACACACACAAATCATCTCTTGACAGTTCTGTTATGTCTGAATAATATAATAAGCAATCGTTCAAAATCTGCCCAATTTTCCCTCAAGGTGTGGTACACTTCCTTTCATCGCATTTTCTGGAAACACATACATATACATATTCTTGTAGATATACTAACTCAACATATTTGTGACCAAAAAAATATTGAAATAAACTCATTGGGGGGGGCTACTCCATAGTGGATGAACCTGGCAAGGAAACGATCGACTTCAGAACTTACTTGAGGGTCCTCATATAGCTTATCAATCTTCATTACCCACAGATGCTCCTCACCATCAGCGGTGAAACTCCCGCTGCACACGTGGACCATATCCCCACATGAAATCTGCACCAGGCAAGCCCGCTCTGATACATCATGCCACAGATTGGTGCTGCAGCCCTGCGGTTCTGCAGATCTACTATCCTGGGCCCATCAAACTCTGGAGGGCATTCTCCTGCCCATTGATCCCAGCTTGGGACCACACCCTGGCTTGTGAATTGTACTACAGATAGGAGTTGAATAAGGGTAGAATTTGAATATCAACCGTTTGCAAACGGGGCGGAATTTGACTTGGTTTGGGACTGGTGCTGGTGCAGACTCTGTGTGTGGAGTTATGCCTGTGTGGCCTTGCCTGTGCAATGGCGGTACTTTGCTGCTTTCAGCACATACAAAATTACAAGATTTATGCAACAGGATTGGAGCCTCCTTTGATTGGACAGTCAGCACATTGAGTATGATGGCGCCATCAATGCTGTGAAATGCCTTTTGCAAGGTCATGACTTTACGCATTCCGATTGACGGCATTTTTACAGGTGGTGTATCAGTTTGCTATTAAACACACTACTTAGCCCATGCCCGATCATACTGAGCTCAATAATGTGGAATACAGTGCCTTTTTCTGCTTACCAGGTGACTTTAGACAGTGTGCAGGTGCCCAATTTACAAATAACTTTTAATTCCCACTCCCTATTTGAGTAAACAATATTATGTTAGAGTTCAAGAAGTACAAATACCATAAACTTCATGGACAGAAGCGTAAATCCTCATTGCTGACAATTTAAACTATCCATGCTTATTGGACACTCCCTCCCAGGCGACAGAAACCCCACCCGAAAGCTTGGTGCACCCTCCTCAAACGACTCCAGCTCTGCAGTCTGGTAGTACTTCTTGCCATTTTCCTGCAGAGTGGCAACGACATCAACAGTTCTCTCAATCAACAGGCTCCGGCTAAAATGCAATCTATTGCAAAACGAATCATAATCGGTGGGAACAGAGCTGCAGGCGAACACCGCAACTGGGGACAACTGGAAATTTCAGCATTATTTCTTTCTGTGGATTTGTGGCTCTCAACGCCAACAGGGTGCCAGGGCCATGATTTGCCATTTTCAGCAAACTGCATACAACAGAAATAAAAAGCCCTCGTGCCAATTACTGCAGTGCATGAAAATCGAGGTGTTGGGGGAGAACGCCGCCTGTATTGACAGATTAGAAAAAGGGGGTAAAGGTGACCGGGTGGCGAAATAGCAAATTGGGATAGAAGGGCCAAGAGATTGGTGAGAGTCGACGTTGCTAGGCATGCTGGTCTGGGCGGGACATCGCCCTCTTTGGTGGACACCCGCAACACGTGCAAGGGTCAAATTGGAATTACAACAACACCTACCACTACCACTACAGCTGCAGTGCAGTGCTGTGGGTACCATCGACAGAAGAAACATACAGTAGGCAAAAAAATGTTGTGGCTTTCCCCATTATTGTCACGGCTGCCTGCTTGATGCTTTGCTCGGACATGGGAGGCTCCTGCCGATTGACATTTCCTTCATCACAAGATGGTGATGGCCACATTGACAGCCTGGGTTTGTAAATTGGTGGGCCACCACCTCTGCCCTAAGAAGGAACATTAACTACATGGGGTTCCAAATGCCTCTTGAGCATAGCTGGCTGGATGTGGTCAACTTGGCTTGTGCCATCCAGCCATGATCTTGCTGAAGGAGTGCAAACAGAATTGCCCCAGCATTGTTCCTCATTGATGGCTGTGTTGATGACAAACAACAAATCACTGCAAGTGCACCCATCAGGCGATGTTGAGGGCTGTTGACATATGTTTGACGAAGACAAACGAAGCAGATCTCCATCATCATGGCAGGCACCTAGGGTTCATATTATGACAAGCATGATGACCGAAGGTTGTCACAGCCAGACAACTGTAGTCCCCTGAAACTCACCTCTCTCTTGGGAGCACTGCACCATCTGACCCCATTGAACCCCTTTTCTTCAGCGCCGTACACTCCTGTAAGCGAACCGGAGAACTGCACAATCAGCAACTGCACAACATCTCATTGACCTAATGTGTGGAACGGTGAAGTTCCACGCACAGCAAAGTGAAACGACTTATCCACTTGAGCAACGCACGCTTCACGCATAATTGAAAGATGAATCAAACTTGAGACGCGCACCCTGACACTGCTAGTGCTCAGCCCGCGGATTGTGGGAGCTCTCAATGCATTCCAATGCCTCAATTTGCTTCCTCAGGCAATCTTGGCAACCGACAGAATGGGGCGTGCACGCACCTCTGCTTCTTTTCGCCTTGGGAGCGGGGCCACATCTGCAGGACAGCAAGAAATTCAAGTGTGTCACAAGCACTATGAACGACGCCAATCCCGGACGGCGGTCCCGCACATTTCCTCCAATTCGGGGGCTTCGGAGGCCATCCCAAACGAAAGGCAAAGATACGAAAGGCAAACCAAAGGCAACGAAAGACAAAATACAGAAAAAGCAGCAAGGGTAACAATTTATCTCGACTCACAGCTATCAACTCACAAGAGCGGAATGTATCACGGACGTGGCCATGATACATTCTGATGGCTCACGCATTGAGGGCATAGCACGGACGGTGACAAGCGCAATTCGCTGTAGCACCATATGTAGGAAGTCCTTTTCTTCTTCATAGCTATCAAATGCTCAACGAGCTGTCCTGTTTTCGAGATCGTCCGCGGGGCGCCCACCTTCCCCTCTCCACGCATGCACCGGCCTCCGAATTGGAATCTGTCCTCAAGCCTGACATATCAGATGGAGTTGCTCTCCGAGCTCACGGCGGCGATGGGGGAGGGGCGTCGGAAACTGGGAGCTGCCCGGGTAGGGCTTGGGGAAACACCGGGGGGGCGGGGGGACGTGGATCATGAAAGGCGTGGGACAGAAACTGTGCTGGCGGGTCGTTCTTTCTAGTGACCGCGCGCCGCGGCTGTGAATGAGTGTCTTGATGAAGGTCATTAACACAACTCTGACGTCTCCTTGCGTTAGGCCTTTTCCGCGACAGTGCCAACGCTCTTTCTTATCGCGCTTTCCAAAGGAGCACATTTGGTACTGCGGTTTCGCAGTGACTGTGTGTGCACATATCGACTGCGTGGATGTGTGCTTGATATCCCTGTTTGCAACACAGTTTATGTTGATGGGACCGCAAGGAAGTGCATTCAACAGCCGCAAACCTTGTGGCGAAACCCTGCCATCCACCAGCGGGTCCGCTTCTCATAGACGCACAACAAACTGGCCATTGCGGATGCTGCCCTGGCTTACCATCTTGTATATTTTAAGTTTGGAGGAATCGACCTTTGGCCTGGAAGAGGTGGCAGGTATTGGCACAACAGCAGTTAAATCCAATGGGCTGTTTTATCTAGCGCCATTTTATTCGGGGAACACTCGTAAACGTCAGCACGCCAGTGGTGAAGTTCCATGCATGGAAGTCATAGCCACAAGCGTGCTGGCTCCTCGGATGTGTATTCCGGACTCCTCGTTTGCTGAAGGCAGATTTCACATGGCCAGCTTGGGACCGCACACAAATGATGCACATATTAATGATGCACATATTGCCCTTCACGACCTATGAAGGTATCTGGGCATGGTTCGCCCAGTGGACAACTGCATTCAATGAATTACACATGCGGACCAATCGTCCGCTGTGTCGAAACAAATAGCATGCAAGGACAATCCACCCATTCACAAGATACAGAACGCTGACGGCAGCAACCACTGTGAGGCGTGCCCCTCAATGACGCCGCGCACCAACCGCAAGCATGCCTGCGGAGAAACACAACAGGAGCGGGCCTTAAGGGCCGTGTCCAGCACAACTCTCGCGCTGACCAAGCGCAACCACGACGGTCTGCAGTCAAACCGGCCGCGCAGTCTGCAGTGGAACAAGCGCCCAGCGGCCGCGAGGCCAGCTGCCCAGGCAAGCCAGCCCATCCCCACAGCGGGTAACGTGCACCAAGCCCACGCGCGCCACCCAGCGCGATTCGAACCCCAAATCCCTTGTCACGCCCCGCAAACGCGCCACGGCCCGTCGCCCATCTTCTTCCACGCAAACCTCCACCAGCCCGCGCCGCGGCGAGTCCATCAGGAGCCAGATCCAGTTCGTCGGAATTCATCAGAAGCCGTCCGTGTGCAGCAGCTGCATCACGGCTCCCACGGCTTCGCTCGCCCCCAAGTCCAGCCCGGGATCGTCGATCTTGGCCGCCAGCATCCGGCCCAGCTCCTCCCGCAGCTCCCTCAGTAGCACCGCCACCTTGGCCGGCGCCGCGAACTCGGCCCACCCGTCCAGGACAATCAGCCCCCTGTCCGCCCGCACGGCGACCTCCCCCCCGAACAGCAGCATCGCGTACACCGGCACCATCGAGGCCGCCCGCACGTACACCTTGGCCGTCTGCACCATCTCCGAGTACACGAGCCAGCCGCTCTCGAACCTCGCGGTGTCGAAGTTGACGGATGCCGGGTGCAGGAACACGCGCTGGCGATCCCGGTCGAAGAACTTGACCTGCTTCGCCTCGCCCTCGACGGCAACCGCCCCGGCGCCGACCTCTGCGTACCGCTTCGGAGGGTGCTCCACGCGCAGGATGTTGGGGTAGAATCCGGCGCACACGGCCGCCCGAACGAAGCGCGTGTTGGAGACGAACTTGTTGGCCCCGACGGGGGCGGGCGCGGCGGCGGGGGAGTAGGAGGGCGGCACGAAGCCCAGGTCCGCGAGGATGGTGGCGTACTCGGCGCGGCCCGCCAGGGTAGCCTGCATGGCGTCCGAGGAGACGTAGTTGCGTCGGCAGAACTGCGACGCGGCCGCGTTGCCCCCTGCGGCAGGGACGTCAGACGTCAGGTGGGCTCCTTGGGTTGGAACATTCGACAGTTGGCTTCAAACAGCACGGGCGCCGCCACGTGGGCACACCCATTTCTTAGCTCATATGTTCCTCTGTCCTTTTGCAGAACTCTTTGCCTTTCCGGTGATCTGTTGCTCTGGTTTAGGTGGTTAGTCAGCGTTAAAAGACAGGGGAGGAATTGACTGCTACTTTCCTCCAGTGAAGTAGCGAGACTGACATACACCCCGCGATCGGATGAAATTTGCTCATTTAGGCCGGCATGTCCATCAAATGCAATCTTCAGATTTCTGGAGCTCATGGGCAGGATTCCATCTGCCTAGTCGATCGGCCCAATAATCACATTCATTGAAGCCTGGCCTCAGCCACCAGCAGCATGCCCTTGTACGTCCAGCAAAGGCAATAATTGCTCAATATGACAATGGTTTCACCACACATCTTTTCTTTCCCCATATGTTGTTCATGGTTCAGACCATTTCATTTCCTGCTCTGTAGCTGTTAACAAATATCTGCAGATTGTGATGTGTTGGTGTCAAAGAATGAAGTTCATGTAGTGCACACGCGCACGAGCGACGCACAACGCCACTGTGCCCACCTTTTTCTTTGGCGCTCACCCACTGCGAGAATGCCGCGACGATGGCGAGGTGGTCACTCTTGGTGTGGGCAACCTTGCTTACGGTGCACAGCTCCTTCCTCGCCGCATCCGCCTCTGCTCGACGATCCAATGGGCTCAGAAACACTGAGCGGCCATACGACATCGCAGCTGCGATGGTAAGGACGGGATCCAGGCATTGGAGGATGGCGGCATACACCAGCATTTTGCCTAAGAACCAATTCCACAGAAGCCCTGTTAGTAATGGACAATTGGCGACTGAATCAGCGTTCTGTATGGAGTCTGGAATAGTCAGTTGTACATCGCGTTATCGAGTCACTGGGTGTTGGAGAGAGCATCGTGCCCGATTGGCACGCTAGGCCAATGCAGCCCTGCTTTACATGCATGCACCCACGCCAGGTCGGGACACGACCATCAGAGCTCAGTTCAGGCTGAGACAATCCTGGGGATTTTTCAATCTCCATTGTGCAACCAACTGTATTTGAACTGCACAGATGCAGTATGCAATGCGTGAAGACCAGCATTGCAATAGGATGAATTCCCAGAGGATACCACATCAGGTTCTTCCATCTTCAAGTCGCTCGTCTCCTCACTCACAACTTATACGTGCAATTTCATTCGGCAAGTCCCATCGCATCACGCGTTGCATGTCAGGCCGCGTCAGCTCCCCGCACCACCTACCCACTCTCACGTCCACTGGCATCCGCACCAAGTGCTGTCCCAGAGGCGTGAGCAGCCGATCCTGCCCCATGGCGCCCACCTCCTCAAGGGTCTTCAATGCCGCCTCAGCGTGGCCTGACCCTGGGGGCGTCAGGCACTGCCGCAGGCACTCCTCCACGCTGAGGGAATGCCCCAGCAGGGCGGCCAGATTGAGGCACAGGGACTCGAGTGGCACCCGACATATCTCAGGCTCCTGGTGTCGCCGCAGCTTGCCCCACTGGCGGTTGGTCACCAGGCGGAAGCACACACCGCACCTAGCCTCGGCAGCACCCTCAACTCAACCACAATCAGACCAAACAGTTTTGATGAAGACAATGGCCGTAGTGGCAATAGTGTCGGGGATAGCAGCGATATGACAGTTTTCATAATTTAGCCTTACTTCAACAGCCATACGACACAATTTAGCCCACAGTCATCACAACTAATTGAGCATCGCACTGTGATGTTGCCTTTATGTGTCCACGTCCAGGAAGAGCCATGCAGTTAATGTGCAGCGACTGCAGTGCACGAGCATGGGGTTCCATTTTAACGAGATACATAGAACAATGTAATGTAAATTGTGGATCAATAAGAATAAACTGCTGAAGTGCATCTGCCTGACAGAGCGTTGAAAGCGTTATCTGCAACTCTGGTGGATGATTTCCTCTCAGAATTCATTTCGCGCAGAATTCAGCGTATGCATTTTGTGCTATGCATAAATTAGCAAATGAAACACAAATCTTGAAGGACGCACCACAACTGGAACTGATTCTTGGATGCGATGGAACACTTTGGCATCAACGAAGCTAAGAAAAAACGGTACACCACTTCGTTTGAATGCAGTTCCTTGCCATTAATGCCAGCGAATGGTGCGGAGTCCCCACCTCACACGGCCAGCCCTTCCCGCCCTCTGCTTCGCGGCTGCTTGTGACACGTGCGTCAGCTGCAGCCTGCTGATTCTGCGCTCGGGGTCATAGCCAACCTCCTTAACGAAGCAGGTGTCGATGACCACTGCAACATCAGGGATGGTTACACTGGTCTCTGCCACGTTGGTGGACACCACGACTTTTCGCACGCCCTTGGGCATGGCGTCGAACACCCGTCGCTGTTCGCCAGGAGGCAGGGTGGCATGCAGGGCCATCACTTCCAGCCCCTGGCGGCCGCAGACGCCTTGAATCTTTGGAGATTCTGGCCGTGCGGGCACAAACCGTACATGTCAACATACTTGTCGACCAATCGTCGAAATTGGCCTGCAACAGGCTCCCACGCAAATGTGTGTGTGGCACATGGATGATCTCCAGTTAATGTGGCCGATTTCGATGCTGGTTGCATTTGTCACATGCTGGAGCACATGTGTAACGCAACGGCACACAACGGCATTGTGAGTTGGGATGTGACAGTGCGCATGCCATTTCAGCGGCAAACAATCCAAGTTTAAACATCATGCATCTGAATTTGGAAGCACCAGCCGTGTTCCATTTACCTCGCAAGGCCCTGGCCACATTGTTAATTTCCAGTGCTCCAGGCAAAAACACAAGTATCGCCCCACATGCCGACACCCTCTTTTGCTCTTCTGGTGTAAATTCTGACCATCCCTGCAGCAGAGCTGCCGGTCCACGAAGTTTCTCCTCACTCACGATGTACGCAACGAGGCACTCTATCAGTTCGTAGCAAGCCTGTTCATCGTCGAAACAGACATCAACTGACTGCATGCTCCGTCCATCCGCACAGCACGCGTTACTTTACAAGCTCACCAATCAAGGACATCAATAAAGGCAACAGATCAGGAAACCACCATGAAATCCAACGTCGCTCGTGCTGGTCCCTTGCTCTTTGCTTTGGGATCACAAGTGCAAGCCGCAAATTTCACGACTTACATGTATTGGTCATGAGCTGATTCTACACAGCAGCTGCAAAGTATGTGATGCATTTTGTCGAATCCAAAATTGACATGACAGACAAGTTTGGCCGTTCTGGTGTCTCTGTGTGGCACTGTCATGCATCGGACAACTACACGGCACAGTCAACAACAGTCTAACCTGGAGCTCATCCTGAAGAGCAGTTGCCTTTCTAGCCTGCGAGCCCTGCTTTCCTTCATCGCCATTTCCTTGGCTCCGATCACTCAAGGTACTGCACACATAGGGGCAAAAGTATCCGAGTTATGTTCATGGTTATCACTTCTTGATATCCAGAGCACTAGCCCATCAAATGCACACCGTATCCTGAAGCTTGTGGCGAGCCCCCAAACATTGAACCACGGTGGTGGAACATGCACTGTGAGCTTGTTGTGTTCTGTCACAAGTGCCTAGCACGCTGCTCAGGGGGTTTGCACTGCATGTTGAAGAGGTGCGCATTCTGCAAGGTCGTTGGGGCAACGGCGGCAGGTTGGACAGAAACAATCACAACATCCTGCTAAGCTGAAGGCCGAAACATCCACCGACGTACCCAAACTGGCCCTTGCTGGGTGTGAAGCCTGTCATCCTCACAGCATCCTCCAAGAAGAATTCCCGGACAGGATGAGTGAAGCCTGGGATGTGCACCACTGACACCTTGCATTTCTGCAGGCAAACCCAACAAGGCCAAAAGCAATTCAAATGGCATCGCTACAGGCATCATCGAACATGCTCTCACACTTTAGAATTCAATACATTCACCTTGGTGTGTCTGTGATGTCAACTTGCTATATTGTATGCCCTATGCAGAATGCTTTCAAGATCCCTTCATATTAATGCACACTTTCCAGTGACAACCTGCGCGCTTCCATGAGCACGCACTTCTTGCCAATCAGAAATATGCGCAAGCAGTCCGTTCAATTGTGTCCTACTTGACACTTTGGCACCAGTCAGACGGGGCCATTCTCTTTTCTTTCTTTAGGTGCTGTAACAAGGCACCCACGCTTCAGGCAGTTAGACAGAATGCAAGATCACGAACAATACAGGAACGGTGGACTTGGCCTTCAGGTCTGCATTGCCCTGTTGGTATCCAAACTCGCTTCATCTAATGGGACAATGGGGATGAAAGATAAGTACACATGGCCACTGATAGCAATCAGCACAAGGTCAACAAGTTGTACTTTGGACCGAATGAGACATAACAAAATGGGTGGGTATTCTTTGATTAATTCACAACAATCGAGACATGTGGTACAATCCCCAAGCAAGTGTAACTGACATGGATACTGAGAAGCCTGTAGTCCAAATGAGCACCACAAGACCTACACATTGCACCCCATGAGCCTCACAGCGGTCGCAAACAAGCAGTCAATGAGAGTATTAGGATACACAATGCGATGACACAATTGCTCTTCTTTGGCCTAGTAATGATTGTCATCCCTGGTACATGTTGGCAAACAGTGTGGGCAAAACCAAAATAGGTGCTCAGCAGCTCTCCATGCAGCCTGCCCACACGCCAAATCTACACCAGTGTCACAGATTGTGCACTGCTCACCTCGTTGCTGAAGTAATTCACAAAGTCTGGGGCATTTGCAGTGGCTGACATCAGCACAACCTTGTGGCATTTTGGGCGCTTCAAGTTGTTCTTCACCAGCAGTAGCAACAGGTCAACGTCCACACTGCGCTCATGAACCTCATCAACAACCACATGGCTCACATTGGAAAGATGTTGGTTAGAGATCATCTGTCGAAGCAAAACGCCTGCACCAGCACACCCAGGTGGTCAAAGTGCTCATCATCACTGAGTGCAGATGATCCTCGTCAGGAAGCAATACAGCAGAAGGGCACAATACAGCTGCTCACAGACGAATGTGGATCCAACTCTGCAAATACAAATGTCACCCACAACACTGCCCGCAGTGCTTTTGTTCAAGGTCCCAAGCACAGTACCCCCATGTGCCAAGCATAGGCTCCCCACCATTGGCACCCACCAATTGTGCAGTACATTATTCTTGTTCGCTTCGACCTGCAAGATTGGTTCTTGATGGCATACCCCACAACCTCCCCAACCTCCTCTGCCCTTTCATCTGCCACCCTGTGTGCAAGGCCCAATGCAGATATCCGCCTGGGCTGTGTGCATACGATGCTGCATCTTGACCCCTGCCCATTGGAAATGGCATTTTCGAGTATGAACTGAGGAACCTGTCATGCCACAAGCCAGTTTTCTTCAGGACCAATCGCTTTCAGCCTTGTTGAGATGGCATGGACACCAACCACACTTTCTGACAAGGCTGCAGCACTCTTGTCGACACTGTGGTTTGGCATCAATGGAATGAATCCCTTTTAAGCATGAACATAATCCTTGCAGGCATTATTTGCATGCTGCAACTGCAAATCCAACACTCTCTCCAGCAGGTTGAGAATGTGGCGTCTACTGGGCACATCTCTGTGCATATGAAAGTGTTGCTCTGGTATCATGCTTGGGTAGCATAAGCTGGCCGGTGGCACAGGTCTGTGCTATGCAGTCAACTATGGTTGGCCCTCACCAAATGGAGAAGTTTAAACTCATTTGCCTTGAGCAACAGGCCGGCACTGGGACAACATCAATAGGACATTTGGTAAGCATGATAGACAGCATGATATACTCAAGTGTCAGCGACAAATCTTGTATCTTGTATGTGGCAGCTGCCTGTTGTTCTGTTGCAAACAAACAACAATCAAACTGCATCTGCAGGACAGCCACTGTAGCAGTGTCATTATCCGTTTGCCCTTCTGCTGGAAACTGCCATGCCAGTAGTTCTCAGTGACAAGCGGGCCTACAACAAGGTAAAATATGCATGGCTTTCCTTGGTGTCATTGACTTTGGTGTCAAAATCGAATTTGGAAATGCCCTGGCCATTCCCACCTGAGTGCTCTTTCCACAGCCTGGCATGCCAGTCACCACCACTACTTGGCTGCACTCCACTGCTTCCAGCACCTCATTGCGCTGTTCGAAAGCTGGCAGGCCCTGCCTCTGTTTCCTGATGCCATCATGCTGACTGCTCCTGGCCAGTTCGTTCTGCTGCAGCTCTAGAATCCGGTTCTCAGCCTCCAGATCGGCAGGTGACAGCTGAGGCGCTCGTCGTCCTTGGGGAAATATAACAATCCACAGGACTTCACGATCAGGATTGAGGAACACAGGATTTCGCCATTTGACAGCCTGAATGCATAAGTAAGTACCATGGGATCTGTTCCCTGAGAGTCTGCAAACAACAGGATCAATTAATATGCACACATTGTCATGGCTAAGAACACATAAGTGTCAACCCAGTGACAGTGGGCACGGGGAACATGGGCTCCATGAACAAATGCATGAATTGTAAGTTAAAAGCCGTTCTAATATTGGCATGTGCCTCAAGATATGGATGTGTGCTGCTACGTTGCATTTAATTGAGGTTGGTGGCTCACCCTTCCTTGGGGCCGTGTGGACAGAATTCCTGACAGGCTCCGCTGGCATCAACTGTTTGTCTTCTTCTGCAATGCAGACACCAGGCCCCAACTGATCAAACTGGAAAATACATAGTCCAATCACATGCGTCGCTATTAATGTTGCACTGAGTATTGCCACTCTTGTTCATTCCACAGGGAAGGGAAAACATTCAGCATCCTGCAATGTGCAACTTGCAAAGCATTGCAAAACGGAGCTCAGGTTCGAATGGTACAGCAGCCACCAGTCAAAAATGCAGGCTGTCTGGCCTAACAATTGTCATGTATAAAACAAATCCTTGTTGACTACCGATGTTCAAGCATGATTGAGCATACCATGTATGGCCTCCACCTCAATGTCCTCTTGTGGATGGGGGGTTTCTGTGACCTTTTCTATACATTTTTTCGCTTCATCAAAATCTACGCCCTTCAAGAGTTCTGGGACAGCTGTGGCCAAATCGTGCACCATTGGACATCCTAACAGCTCCTGAGCATGTTCAACCAACTTCAGCGTGACAGTCTTGAGCCCCTGGTGAGGGACGTCGGTGCAGCTGACTGCAATGACTGGTATGGCCTCTGGGTAGTCATTCGGAATAGAGTTGATCAAGAGTGTCACCTTTAGGGCTTCACCCTGTGATGGACACAGACACAAGTGCCTTCAACTTGCTTCGTCATTCCTGCAAACGAGCTATACAAGCCACCAACATGAGAGGCAACATGCACGAGCCAACATAAGAGTTGAGAACACAGCTGTGTACAATACATGGGATTCAGAAAAACGCCCACAAGACTGGTTTGCATTCCACTCTTTGCAGCAAAGCTACCATGCTGGCGACTCAAAACAAGCACATCTTCTGGTTGTGCTGAGTCGCCGCAAGTATTGGGAGATTGCAAATATAGGAACTCCGAACCCACTAGCAGTATACACTGTGTCCCTTGGGTGCTGTTCAGCATCACATTCGATATGGCACAATGCAAAGCCAATCTGGCAGCACAAGGATGGCCGGCTTTCAGCCAGGGTCAGTTCCACCACAACAACCTTCCCATCCTGCATACTCTGAAGTTGCAGTAGAAACCTGACAGTCTGATGGCCATTGCCACGTCTTGCTTTATGACACTGTTTACTGCACTGGATGTGGTTTGATACGGGTGGGCAGGAAAGTGTGCACCAAGGATGCTGCGAGGATGATGAGTTTATGTACGATAGTGCATGTATGTAAGATCAACTGCAAACAGAGCCGTCACACAAAGAGCATCACTCCCCTGTGCAAGTTGTTACAAAATGCTGTTCCATGCAGTAAACCTGATGCACGATCTGCCAAGCACAACATGGGGCACATAATACAGTGAGCGGTACAATTGACAAGCACCTGACAGTGCATCCTCAGACCTTGAACGAGGTGCACAGAAAACGATTGCAAAGAATGAGGTGCGGTGCATTCTAAAAATCCCAGCAATGCTGCATACCTGACTGTTCAAACTTTCCACTTCGTCACACTCCACACAGACTGTCAGGCATGCAGATGAGGGAGAAGGGAATTCGATGTCTTCCCCATAAATGGCTTCCAACGCCGTGCACTCCTCCCTCCAGGCACTGTCCTCATCAGCAATCTGCATCTCGCATGCAGACACAACCTCAATGCCTGCACTCACACACACACAGGACGTTGACTTCACAGGAAGACGTATGTTTCCTGCATGCTAAGAGTCAAGTACACAACAGCACGAGCTGAGAAACAGTGCTGACATAATGCTGCACATCACAGCCCGCGTTTGACATTGGACCACTCTTCATGATTTGCCTGGGTCCCTTTCTCCCTGTAGTGCTGCAAAGAGCAAGGTCACTATGACATTCGGACATGATAGTGAATTTGGGAGACAGAAACACCATTGCTGTGCATGCTCATTCTCATCACATAAGAAGCAAATTTTCTGTGTCAGTTTGCCAGTGCATTTCCTGCTAACCTGTCAGTTTTGAAAACAATCTCTGGAGGGCTTCTTCGGGGTCGTGGTTCGTTTGTCCCAGAGCTTCAGCAGCCTCAGAGTAATGATACCCATACTCACAGAGACCCAGCACGATTGGATCGTTCTTGCATTCAGCTGTGCGGTCATCGTAGGCAGTGCGCAGCACCCCAACGATGTTGGTGGCAGAACCTGATAGAAACAAAGGTGGTAACACAGGGTAACCGATCACCACACTGCCCCCAAGAAGCAAGTTGCAAATCCTTACATTCTGAACTGTGCATATAACAAAATCCAAGGCACATGACACAAATTCAAGCCTCAGTGGATTACAGCGCTCAACTGCCGTCTAGAACTTAAAGGCACCCATACAATGGGCAACACCATCAAGCAACGTACTTCCTGCTAGCTGTTTTGGCAGATTTTCACTGCTCATGTTGAGGAGCAGCCAGTCAAGGTGTTCAGATAATTGTGCATCCACGTCCAGTGCAGCTTGAGCAGCCATGCGCTGATCTTCAGAGAAGCCCATCGCCTTCAGCTGTCTATCTATCTGGCGCAACGAGGCCTCTGGGGCTGGCCGGCTGGATGTCGATGCATCACATGTTGATGTATCTGACTGCTGTCCTTTGATGTTGCGGACAACAGCCTCCACCATTCTTTGATTTTGTTCGCTCATCACAACAACCTGTGTTGCACAAACATGTGGGGCCATAAATCCAAAGATAGCACAAGATTATGCATCCGCAAAGAAGGGAATTTGACCCAGCAGATATGTGAATAGTACGATGCACATTGCTGCCGAAGTGATATCACAACAAGAATAACTTCTGTTGCTGCATTTAGTCTATCTGACAGACCCTCAAGTCCATGGAAACAACTGCTCTCACCATGGGTGGCTTTCTCAGCCCCATGTATGGAACGAAGAGAGACTGTCTGGCAGGAGAAGCAGCCACACAACCAGGGGACAAGGTGGCTGTCTACCTTTTGCTGCCTTCTTGCTGCTCTCATCTTGTTTGTCTCTGCCTGCTTCCGTCTACCTTCCCACTCTTGCTCCAAGCGGTCCCGTTCCTCTTTCCGCTTGGCACAGTCATTCCAGATGGCCACATAGTCAGGTGGCAAAACACGATCCAATGCTCGATCGCCTGAGGAATTTCAAATGCCAGATGACAAGCAGCAGTGTAAGTGCCTGCATCCTGATGCTGAATCAACAAGCTTGAGGGGCAACAGCACAACTTGCTTGCCTTGAAGGCATCTGGATTTGATTGTCACTTTTGGCAAATGCACTTGCAGACATTAATATGATCTGGCCAACAGGCTAGTCAATGGCAATCAACTGTCTTATCAATGCAGGTCAATGCACAAAGTGTCATAGTGTTTGCAGCATTGGCAATATTTGATAGGTCCCTACAAAGCATATCCACAGCTTCGGTTCATGAAATGTTCTAAATATGCAATAAACAACTGGAAAAATGCTCCAGCAACCCTGAAGAGAGACACACGACTCAACAGCCCTCATGAGCAGCTCAATGACATTCTGATGAGTGCAAATCAGAACATGACTCAACCCGAATAACACTGCCATGGTTGCTCTTGCGCCCTCACAGAGAGTTGCGCAGGTGAGTATTTGTCAAGCAGGAATGAGGCACATGCAATCCACAACTGGATTCACCTCTTCCACCATTTTCTGACCCGCAACATGGTGTAGCGCTGCAGTGGCAGCATACTGCGCAGCCTCCTGCTCACTGTCCGCAGCAAACTCCTTGGGCAAGTGGACAACGATGTCCTTGTTGGCATATTTCTCATCTGGAAGGACCACCTGTATTGGACACCAGAGTGTCTCACAATCGTGTCTCAAATATAGATTTCAACGTCACCCAATCTGCAGTTTTTGCATTGTTGAAATGCATGCAAGACAACACAAAAATGAAACCATGGCCCACCGACTGCCACCTTCCAGGGTGCCCCACATTACCAACAACAGACATTTTGATCCAACCAAACAAGGATGTTCATCCACATTGTTTTAGCAAACCGACGTTTGCCACATATAAGGCCAATCTAGAAATGGCAAGATTGAAAAACGAACAGTTGTCTCCATCAAAAACAGTAAAATGTGCTGGCAAACAGAATGGAAAACCCACAAATCCAAGGCCACACGCACTTACGCATGCACTGGGCAAGACAACTGTGAGCAACAGTGCAATCGCCTACCCGGCCAGACACCCTGCCATCAGGCTGCGCCTTCAGTTTGTATATTGGCCTTCTCCTGCCCTGCTTTTGGCACCACTCAAGAAGCATCAGCTTTGGTGACTTGTGCGTGTAGAAGCCTGGTTTGCTGCCAACATCCTGAACACTGAGCACAGCCTGTGCACAGACAAGCAAGCACTCAGCCCCATGTTGAGAAGAGAGCACCAACTGCCACTGCATTGCACAGGTGCATGGTGCTGCTGGAGTGTGGCACTGATCTGACAACATGTTGAAATGTAAAGGGGATGCAGAGGCCAGCACCAGCATTGCAAGCACAAACGTTCTTGCATTCGTGTGCAACACAACATTCTCTTTCCCAAGAGGCTGTGCGGCACAAAGTTCATGCTACAAAGTGCAAGTTGTGGCCCAACTTTAGGGAGATTTGTCAGTAAACAGTGCTGCAGGTGCAAGCCAAAATTAAACCAGGATGTGTACCTGACTGGAACAGCCCTCCTCGGAACCAGAGGGTCGCTCTTCTTGCTCCTCAGCATCAGGTTGTCGTTTGTCGTCATTGTGGTGACGTTGTATGTGATCTTGAAGGCGGCCGCTCTACCATACATGCAAGCAGCAAGAATGCAAACAGTTGATGCATGTTCATGTTGAGCGACCTGTTCGGCAGCAGACAGCCTGGCGGCTGTCTGCTCAAGGGCCAAGGTGTACAAGCAGATTGAGACAGAGCAACGGTTGGCTATGAACAACCTTCATCCAAGACAGCAATAACTAATGAGCCTGGTCGTCTCCATAGGAACAGGAAATGCTGTGGAAATGAATAGAGAATGGACAGTACTGTGAGGCGTGTTGGGTGAACTCTTCAACCCCCTTTGACAAATCTGAACCCAACCTGCTTGAATATTTTCCCACAATGTGGGCAGTTTACTTCTTGCCCACGTTTGTCAACCACAGAAGGGCCACGAGTTCCTCCACCACAGCCTGAACTGCAGACAAGAACGATGAAACAACGGTGAAACAAGGCATCACATTCACACAACTCAATAGGGACAACATAGCTGGCCATGATTATGCTGGTGTTGAAGCAATCTACATATCTGAATTCACTCTCTCAGGGCAACTTGATTTGAGACTGTGAGTTGAACATTGCTGTTGTCCAGTTTGTTGGTGTTATGTAGCATCTTGCATCAGTGTACTCAGAGCTCATGTGATCATTCAGGCCCCAGACAACAACGCACAACTGCACAGGAGAGGCGAACTGAAGATCTTGTTTTCTAAAGACATCTGAAGTGTGCAGGTTTGGAAGAGCGAAGCAACCAAGATGCCCTGCAAGGAGATGGCGGAAATTTCAAAGGAAGGCTGCCAACATTATGTCAACATTGGTGCCCGCCTGCAACGATGCTAGGCATGCGATGATTTGCATCATCAACAATTGCGTCAAACGGTGGGTCTGCACTTCGAGGTGGAGCAAAAGGGAGGAAACCCTGGTTATGTGCCAAGGTTCCCAAGGGCGGCGTCACCTTCGCAAAATCAGCCACCTTGGAGGCACAGCCAATGGCCCCCAACAAAGAACAGCGCTGCGGCAAGAGGTATTCCCAGCTGCCGCTGTTCGCCGATCAAAGCCCATACAGCAGCAGAGGCACATCGTGACCGTTTCCGTTGAGTCTCAGGCCGGGCGCCGCATCCCGCGGCCTGTCGGGAGCGTCGAGACGTCCAGGATCAACGCGACCGCGCCCCACCCCAACAAGCCACCCCGGACCATGCTCACCGGCCCCCCCGGACAGCCAGCCAGCCCACCTGAAAATCCGCGCCGCCTTTTTCTTCTCCTCTCTGTTTTTGACGCGGCCCATGGCGTCCCGCTGCTGCCTCCCCTCAACCGTCACGCGCACCGGGCCAGCCCAACAAAACCACGACTGTTTCCACCCAACTTCCAGCACACGCCAACACCGGGGAAACGTTATTTAGTCGCTGCCTTCCGACGTCAGCATGGAGGCCCCGCACCGGGGCCGGGCCGCGCCGGGCAGGCCCCGCTCGCCCCTAGCTAGGGGCGAGCCGCCCCCCCCCCCTTCAAAAATGGCCAAGTCGTTGGAGGGGGCACTGGCGTCTACCCTCCGCAGTTCCGCTTGGCACAGGGGCCGAACGCCAAGGATGGACTGTGGCCTCTGCGGGGCCCAAAGCGTGGCCACCAAACATGCCACAAAACGGTGGGAGTGGGAGGCCGAAAGTTGCCTCCCACTCCCGCCATTCTTGCCCGTCGTAGCCACCGATTGGTGCCACCCGCAGGTGCCCCGATTGGCATCCGCGAGTGGCGCCATTTGGCGCCCACAGGGGCCGAGCGCCAAGGGTGGACTGTGGCCTCCGCAGGACCCAAACCGTGGCCACAAAACATGCCATAAAACGGCGGGAGTGGGAGGCCGAAAGTTACTTCCCTCTCCCGCCATTCTTGCCCCTCGTAGCCACCGATTGGTGCCACCCGCAGGTGCCCCGATTGGCACCCGCGAGTGGCACCACTCGGCGCCCACAGGGGCCGAACGCCAAGGGTGGACTGTGGCCTCCGCGGGGCCCAAAGCGTGGCCACAAAACATGCCATAAAACGGTGGGGGTGGGAGGTCGATAGTTGCCTCCCACTCCCACTCCCACCAATCTTGACCCTCGTGGCCACCGACTGGTGCCACCCGCGGGTGCCCCGATTGGCACCCGCGAGTGGCACTAGTCGGCGCCCATAGGGGCCGAACGCCAAGGGCGATATTCCGAACAGATTCACAACAGATCGCGAAATTCCGTGAATAGAATGGTCGTCCACGAACCCCCAGACGGTAGCGTCTGGACGGATTGCAGCCCCATAAAGTGGTTTGTGGTCCGTCCATCCGTCCGTCCGCGAGTTCTGGAAAGGGCTGCGGCAGTGCCGCGTGCTGTGCTCCAGTGCCCGCGCTCCTTGCCGGGGCCCTGTGCTTGAAGTCGTGAATGGTGCGCCTGGAGGCTAAACACCACAGGCAGCGATTTGCAATGCCAATGGCGCCCACCGGGCCAGTCGCGACCACGGTCATGGGTGTCGAGGTGCGGAACTGGGGAACTGCGGAGGGGAGGCGCCAGTGCCACTTCCCACGACTTGGCGGTTTTGGCAGGCGGGGCGCACGGGGGGCGCGGCTCGCCCCTAGCTAGGGGTGAGCGGGGCCGGCCCGGCGCGGGGAGGCCCTGGTCCGGGACCTCCATGCTGACGTCGGAAGGCAGCGACTAAATAACGTTTCCCCCAACACCGCTGATGACTAAGAACGCCGAAAACCACCGAGCATCGGCCTCCTGGCGCCGGACCTCAAAAGCGCCCCACAGCCCTTTCGGCGCCGAAGGATGCGCAGGATGGTGTTGACAGCTCTCGGCGACCTAAACGCGCTGCGACTAACCGGTGTCTCCCTGCCAGGCCCCCCCAGGCCGATAGCCGGCGCGTCCAGTGGCGGGCGCGCCATCGAATGGCGCGCCTACACGCGCTCGCGCCCGGTCCCGGATGCCCACCCGCGCTGGGCGCCAAACAGGGCAACCGGCGGGCCCGGCCGGAGGGATGAGCGGATCCCGGAGGGCGCGCCGCGGGGGCGGGAATCGACGGGAGCCGGCGCCAGGGACAGGCGCCAGGATCGGGGCGGGTGGGAGATGCGGGGGGATCGCGATCATGGCGCGGGGGTGCCAGGCCGGGGGCGCGGCCAGGCCGGACGCGGCGGGAGCATGGACACGGGCGTTCAGAGGGCGCAGCTGGAGAAGAGGACGTTCGAGAATGCGAAGAAGGTTGGGGAGGAGACTGGGGTGAGAGGGGGGGAGGCGGGAGCAGTGCAGAGGAGCCAGGGGGGTGCAGGAGCATCTGGGCGGTCCAGGGAGGGGGGGTGGGGGATTGGTGGGCTGCAGGAGAGCTGGGAGGGGCACCATTCGAAGCGGGCGTGGGGGCGGGGCAGCGATGCGGACCGCCGGGGGCGCCGGGAGACGGACGGGGTGGCATCCAGGCATTCGGGGGGTGACGATGGGGCGAGATGGCAGGGAGAGGGCTCCAGGGGTTTGAGCCGGGGGGGTGCCCACCGGGGGGCCACGGCGGGCCCCGGTCCCGGTGGGTCACCCAGCGGCGGAGTGTCTGAAAGGGACGTGCTGTCGGGGCAGCGTGAGATGAGGAGCCCTGTTCAGGCGGCGGATGCATCCGCGGAGCGGCGACAGGGCAGTGCCGGCCGTCAATGGGGGCAAGAAGCGGGGGCTGCGGCGAGAGGTGCGGGATCAGCGCCGTCGAGCAGCGGCTTGCGGGACTCCAGAGGCTATCCGCAGGGACTGGGACCCGCATCCGACGTCAGTGATCCGGCATTTCCTCCGCAGCCATTCGCCAGCGGGGATTCGGAAAACGTTGCGCAGTCAAACGATGGCGGGCGCTGGCAGCCCGCGCAGGCGGGTGACTCCAACGGGAAGGGATTTCAGGGACAGGATGGTGGCGGTGGAGGGATTGTAACAGCACCATTGGCTGCCAGCCCGCGATCCGTGGAAGGGAGCTCGCAGTGGAGACCCGCCCAGGTGACAGGCGGCCAGGCAGGTCCAGGCCCGGCCCAGACGTCACACTGGAAGATGTCCGATGAGGATATCCAGTTTGGGTATCGCCAAATGCAGCTGCAGAAACAGTTGCTGCAGGTTGGGATTGATATTCCAAGGCCAACCGCCAGCAAGGAGTACCGGCTGTTGTGTCCACAATGTGATGGTGGAAGCACAGCAGAGGCGTCACTGTCTGTGGGTATTGGAGATGAGTACGAGGTGAGGGATATGGGTCTTGATCACAGTATACTGGCTGTGTGTCTGGCTCCCTTCATTCAGTTGTCTGTACTCACAAGGAAATACACCGGCACCCCAGAAGTGCAACATTTGCATCCGCAGAGCATTGGAGCATGCAATCCCAGCCTCCAGAGGTGCAAAAAGTTCTTCTGTCCCATGTCTCTCCCTTTGTGGTCTTTGTGTGCATCCTCTCACCAGGAAGATTGGCACCTTCCTCCTGCCCCGCAATGGGGCCAGCATCGACAGAACTGCCTGTGGTTGCTGTTCCAACACATCATAGCATGTCGTGACTGCAGTGAACGCCACCCTACACTCAAAAGCAAGATGGTCGTGAACCGAAAAGAAAAGTGCAATCAGTAGCAAAGCAGGATTCCTGTTTTGCTGTTCTGCAGGAATGTTGACAGGCTTGAGTTCTTGGCAAGTTCAGAAAGGATACACCCCCAAAACCCAAGGAGGATATCTGTTGTGTGAAGTATAGTGTCTTGCCTGCATCTTGTGCAGACATCCACAGCTGAACAAGGAACGCTTGATCTGCATCATTCCATTGTAGGACTTGGGGCCTAGAACATTTGTGTGAACCTCAGAATAATGATTCGAATTTGTGCATGGTGTGCTCTGAGAATATTGGGCATTGCATTCTATCGGATAGTGTGAAGAAGCAGCTGCCACAAATCTGTTGCCTTTGCCATGCTATCCTGATCTTAGGAGCAGGTTGCTTTCATGTAATCTGTGCGCATGGTATGGGCATATTGATCCTCTGTATCTCCTGCCCCAGGTCATCCAGTCAAATAAATTCACACTGCCTTCAAGTGGTGCAATACGGGATACTTCTGATTCCAGCTCATGGATCCATGACATTGCAAGAATCGGTCCATCAATGGACTGCATCATGGCCACAGTGTGGAAAATTCTGCTTGCGTTGCATCTTTTATGAAATTCTTCTATTGTTTGCTGAAAGAAACTGTGCAGAAACTTGCTTGCCAGACTGGCATACCTGTGTTGTGTTGTCAGGTTTTTCCCCCTTGCTCTCCCCATATTGTTGGATCCCACCCGCAACATGGTCTCTCATGACAGGGAATCATTGTGCAAACATAGTTTGGAGAGGTGGTGGCGCTAATTGGCCAATTTCTGTGCTGCAGGTAGCGTTGTATCATTGCCATCGTGCCACATGCGGATGGGAAGGGTCGGTTTATGCGGATGGACGGCCAGTATCCCGTTTGAAAGCGTTCTTGTCAAAGCCCATGCGCATGAATGAGGCGCCGATAAAGCCAAATCCGAAATTCCAGCCCCTGTCTCCAGACATGATAGAATTCTTTACAAAGAGAAAGATATCCAAAAAGACACTGGAGAGGAACAAGATTGCGATGGAGGTCGAACATGGAGTGCCAGTAATCGCTTTTCCATATTTCAGGGATGGAGAGCTGATAAACATCAAATACAGATCCCTTGACAAGAAATTCAGACAGGTGGGCTGTTGCACATGCTTCAATTGTGCTGAAGCTGCCAGTTGGGCACAAACAAGCTGTCTGATGTGGTACATTTTTGTTTGGACTGTAGATGGTTGAATTCCTGCTGTTGTAGTAGTGTACATCGTTGTGGTGTCTGTGTAAGCAGCAAGGCAGCTTTCCTTTGCAGGTTCCATCTGTGGTCGTTGCTGTACTGCACTTTCACCAGGGATGGTGCAATGGAAAGGAACCATGGATGGAAATTTCTAGTAAAAAGAGACAGAAATGGCTACTTGTCTCTGCCATTCAGACACAGTTTCGCTTGCAAGTCTGTGACTTGCGGCCATACTCTGCCAATGTGGCCTGGGCCCCTGCCTCTGTTTCTTGCAAGCGCTGCCGTAGTGTTTGACCACGTGCTGATGGCTGCTTCTCAGGTGAAGGGTGCAGAGAAAATCCTGTATGGCCTGGACGACGTGAAGGATGCAGAAGTGGTGATAGTGGTCGAGGGGGAGATCGACAAATTGTCCCTTGAAGAGGCTGGCTACCGCAATGTGGTGTCTGTTCCAGATGGTGCGCCTGCAAAGGTCAAGGAAGGCGAGCTCCCCCCCAAGGACGCTGACAAAAAGTTTTCATTTGTGTGGTCCTGCGAGGCGGTCTTTGAGTATGCCAGCAGGGTAGTGCTTGCAACAGACAATGATGAGCCAGGGTTTGCGCTGGCGGAAGAGCTGGCACGGAGGATTGGTCGAGAGAAGTGCTTCATGGTGAAGTGGCCCAGCAGCAAGGATATGCATTTTGTCTTGGAGGTGAGGGGGAAGGGCAAAACAATCAGGATGCCACTCGTGATATGCCAACAGCCAATGAGAGCCTTGCGTGCAGCTTAGAACAGTGCTGGTCTCCTGTTGTGGTACCTCAAAGAAGAGAGAGCCCCACAAAGATGAGCAGAAGGAGAGGGAAGCGCTCATGTGCAACTTAAGTATAGCGGTTGAGATTCTGATTGCAAGATATGATGTTCGCCACCAAGGTCGCAGCTTTGATACTGTGAATTGTGTAGCAACCTTTGCATGAACACTAATGACACTTTTCCACTTGTGAGCATGTTGCCAGTTATTCGATAGAGTAGTGCCCATGTGCCTGAGGGCAAGGCTGGCATGTGGTGGTGGTTGTGCTCTGCACTCGGATTGCTGCCAGGTGTTCTTTCGGTCGATGAGGTGCTGCAGGCAGGCAGAATGTGGACCATGTACCAGCAAAATGGTGCAGGGTGACCAGTGTACACGATGGTATATTGTATAATGGTATACGGTTTTGCCACATTGGTTGCCCTTGTCTGTCATTTCCCCTAAGGAAAAGAGGAGACTCCTGTTCAAAGTATAGCTGCAATCGCGCAACTTGGAAAGATGTCACACTGTTCAACAATACTAGCTGCCTGCACATTCAAAGCACAAGCTGTGTGGATACTCCTGGATATGTGCCCCATTTTTGGTGTCACTTTTTTTGTTGCAGGATGGTGAAATGCCGCAACAAGAGGACGACCAGGACTGGGCAAGGAAAGATGCTAATGAGGTGCTGGTGAAGGATGGGGTTAAACACTTGAGGGCATTTGTTGAAGCGGCAGAGCCTATTCCTTATATGGGCTTACATAGGTTCGTGCGTGGTCCTGCGCTTTGGATGAGGCGGGCCTTTGAATAATGCATGCCCCAAAATGTCCACACATTGCTAAATAGAGCATCTGAAGCAAGCTGCGTTTGGCAGCATGCATGCCTGGCAGCCTCTATTTGGCTGTTCTCTGCCCACTGCTATTCTTTGTTGGTTCGGTCATTGTGTTACTGTGCTCTTGTGACGGGCGGCCCCACCAGCCAGCAACCTACTTCAGCTGTGCAGAATGTGAAGAAGGTATCACACCATGGACATCAAGTGTGGCCGGCAGGATCTCTGGAAAACATACTGATGGCATGCTGATGGTTTTCGATGGCATCCATGTATTGACTTTTTGTCTCTATGCTGGCCTTGCAAGCATGCCAAACAGGGATCCTTCTCTTTGTCTTTCAGTTTCACCTTGCAGAGCAGTAGTTGCACGCTGTCTGGGCTGCTCGTCGATTGAAACACACGCTGTAGGATGCAGCCCTGCTGCCAAAAGTGACTCGTACGTACAGAAGTACATGGTCGAACAAGTTGGCATGCACTAATCTGTGCAATCGACTGGTGCGCTTGTTGCAGTAAAACCCCTGGATTAGCGGATTCATGACAGGCGCCCTCCCATTGGCTTGGCAGATTTGCAGAGTACTGGGACGAAATCATGGGCCAATACATCTCCATGTCAACTGCTTCAACAGGATACTCAACAGGCTGGAGTGGCATCGACAGATACTACCGGGTGGTGCCAGGGGAGCTCACTGTGGTCACTGGGGTGCCCAACTCGGGCAAGTCGGAGTGGCTGGATGCTCTGGCATGCAACCTCACAGAGAACTATGGATGGGCCTTCGCTTTTTGTGCCATGGAGAAGAATGTGAGTGCCATGTAGCGTCAAGGGGCAAGGCAGCCTGCCCCCACCTCTCCCCTCCCCTTGTGTTTCTGGGCTTCAGCCAACCCTTTGAGAGCCTCTGTTTAGTGACATGTTGGCAGCTCTGTTTGGATGACTGGTTGGTGGCTAGCATGCTGCATGAGTGTCCTCAGCACAGTGCTTTGTGCTGCACTGCACTGTTGGTGAAAAGCAGAGGCAACGCCAGGGTAAGCGCTTCTGTTCCATCCCCAGGTGGGAGATCATGGCCGGCAGCTAATGGAGAAGCACTTAAAAAAGCCGTTCTTCAGCCACGTGAACTATGCCGAGGGTGCAGAGCGCATGTCCCTTGAGGAGGTGAAGAAGGGGATCGAGTGGCTAGACGATTGGTGCCATTTGATTCGCTGTGAAGGCGATACATTGCCCAGCGTGGACTGGCTGCTGGATCTGGCGCGGGTCGCAGTCCGAAGGTGGGCTCAAGTTGTTTGCGACATTTCTTGCAAGGGGAAAGCGACTTGATGTCCCAAGCAGTCCATAAGCACAGCACCAGGCGGGCGTGATGCGGATTTTGTACCATGGGGTTGAAGCAGAGTTTCATTGAAGCAAATCGCGGCTCGATGGTCGATTATGTGCATTGGTGAATTTTGTCTTATTTCATGGGTTTCCTGTTCTCTTTCCTTGTCTTCATTCATGTGAATGCAGCGCATGTGTGATTGGAAATGTAATGCCCTGACAGCCTAACGTGGTGTTGCCACTCCTCTTATTTTGGAATATGGTACGAATGTAAAGAAATGGACTCTTCATGTTGATGTTGAACATTATAACCAACATATTACTCAATATGCAGTGATTTACATAGATTCTTCTTCGTTGTTGAGCGGCAAGTTACAATGTGCACACAGACAACACCAACTCAGTGTACTGCCTCATCAGAGACCAATGTTATGGCATAGGGGACCAGCAGTGTGGCAATCGTTCCATTGTGTTCTTTATGCTCCAGCTGTTGTCGTGCTTTTGCCTTTTGTCACTTTGTGCTGTTGCTTCCTCCGACCCATCCCAAAAGAAAGCTGCAAACTGAAACTTCAGGCAGCGCGGCAAACCATGTTCAATGTGGATAAATCGCTGTGGCCACGATTTCACAGCGCATGTGTTTCCCCCTTCCAAAGTTTGGAGTCTTAGCATTGTGATGCTTGTTGTCACAACTGATTGGCTAAATAGCCGGCATTGACACCAGATATGGCATCCGTGGCCTGGTGATCGACCCCTACAACGAGATCGACCACACCCGCAAGTACAACATGAGCGAAACGGAGTTTGTGAGCCAGATGCTGTCCAAGATAAAGCGCTTTGCCCAGCACTACGGTGTGCACGTTTGGCTTGTGGCCCACCCGCGCCAATTGCACAACTGGCAGCCCAGCCAGGTGCCCAGCCTGTACGACATCAGTGGCAGTGCCCATTTCGTCAACAAGTGTGATGCGGGCATCGTGATCCACAGGAACTGGGACAGGGAGCAGGGGGGGGACCCCCTGCAGGTGTGCATCAGTGTGATGAAGATGAGGAACAAGGCGGCGGGGACCATAGGTGAGGCATCAGAGACGTTGGGAGGAGGTTGGCCACTGCATGTGATTCCATTGGGTTGATTCCGACAGAGTTGATTCAATGTTGTGTGAGTTGATGCCATTCTTCGTTTTGTTGTGTTTGACTGAGAATCGCTCACTGACGACTGACGCCATTGACAGGGCTTGTCAGTTTCACTGTGTTGGAGCTTGTTGCATATGTTGAACATTTCAATCCACTGCATGTGGTTCAGTACAATCAGTCTGCTGTGGGTACATGCTTGAACCTTAATTCGTCAATGTAGGCCTGATCGTGTAGTCTTTGATCGTGGCGTTCGTGCCAGCATTCAATATCGAGATGCAAGGAGCTGCCCTTGTGGCTGAGACAAGAACGACGTCCACTTTCCGACACTGGGGGCCCTTCTCAGAGATCGAATTAGATGTTGTCAGCATGGTCAATATTCGTTGTGGAAGATCGGACACCGAATTGAACTGACAGGGTTTCGGTGCAGTGATGTTCGTTGCAATCAGCATGGAGCAGCCGGAAATTGCATGTTTGTCTCCCATGTTCGACTTTCGTTGCATCGAAATGAAACTGTGTTGGGAAAGCATGAATAAGATGCTGCAAGCGCTCGCTGCGTGAATGGACAGAGCAGGAGCTTGGCGTTGACCGGGTCCGCACACCTGCTGTAATAGCCGATGTGACATAAGTGAATGCGTAACCAAGAGCCGGTGATTGACGACCGGTGATTGCGGCCGCCTGACAGGCAAGAGCTACCTGCGGTACAGCAAGTCTCATGGGACGTACATCGACATGGGTGACGCTGGCGCCAGGATGTCTCATAGTGGTGACCCCATGAGATTTCGCAGTGCCTCGGATGCGGTCCAGGGCCTGGGGCGCCGAAGCGGGGCGGACGAGGTGGACGAGCACACGGATTTTGAAGACGACACGACGAGCCAATCGGTTCAAATATACAGCTGATGAGCGCAATCGTCGATTGGTTCTGGTTGGCATTGTTTGGGTGCGCTGTGCGCATGTTATGGGGCATCAGTAGGCGAAGGCGATGGTGAGCGATTCATTGTTATCAAAGGCGCCTTTTTGTTTCCGGTGGAGTGTAGAAAAGAGTGAGTTGTCTGGCGCGCTGTGGCGGAAGCGGCGGCCTTCGATGGACGAGCTGCCGACGTGGAGTGCAGTGGACGGCCTGCGTGCAGACGGGGTTGGTGGGGAGGTGTAGAGTGTGTGTAGTAACTTCAGGTGCATGTGTGGAAAGTTGGCTAAACGGTGGCGGGCATAATTATGGCGGCGAAGGGATGTCGTGGATTGTGGATGAGGGGTTGGTGCTTGCCGTTGTGTATTATTCGGGACATCGGCTGCAAAGGAGCGCGGCTTCCTGCCGGTGGGCTGGGCGGTGAGAGGGCGGAAAGTAATCCACCCGATGGGTGCGGCCTTCTGGGCAAGGTTGTCGGCGCATTTGGCCATTGTTTTGGAGTTCCTTACATCAAGAGCTCGTGTCCTTGTGCAGTTCGATGTCTGGGCCCATTCACAAGCAATGGCAATGATGAACCCATCACGAAGCACTACGCCGTTTGCTTTGATGGTGCAGAGATCTGCAAGGTTGTGAGGAAGAGCCGCCGACATTGAGCACTGCAGCCTGGCAGACATGTTTAATAACGTGTTTAATAGCATTTGGCCCATAGTGAATTACTGTATTATGCAATACACTGATTTAATATAGTATCAACGCAGTCAAGACCATGACTAAAGTTTGCGTGCTTCCCTCTTCTGGAACTGCACGACAGTGTCTTCCGGAAAGTACGGGACCAGCGAAAGTTTCGATGTCACGCGTTCTTCCCAACCATCATTGGCCTGGGGACTGCACGCGGGACTTCACAACGACTACAACGGTGCTCTCAAGGCACCACCCACAAAGGCCACCGCGAGGCCCCTCGTTTAATGTAAATCCTTCGTCATGCAACCTCATCGATCGGAAAGGATGCCGGATCTCAAAAATATGGCTGCGCGGCCTTTGAATGCCGGTAAGGGCTGGGGAAAGGCCGACCAAAGTTCTGTTGACCGCACCACAATGTCAACAACATCTCCCACGGCACGTTGACTTTGGAAATCACCCCATCGTATGGCCGCGCCGCCCACCTCGACTACACGGCCGGTTCTTCCACCGGCCACCGAAAGGTTTCGGACCAAAACTGTGCTCAGCATCTCTTGCTCAGCCCGCAGGATACGGAGTGGCCGGGAAGCACCCCATCCTCGTCTCCCAGGCGCCCTCGAAGACTCCGCGGTGGACATTTCTTGGCCGGGTTAAGAAGGCCACCGAGCCTCCGCGATGAGTGGAACAGTCGACAGGTGGGCCTCAAGCCACGGCTGTGTGCGTGGAACGCACTGCCCGTGCTGGGACATCCCAGAGACTGGGGCCAGCGGGTTCAAAGGCAAAGTCAACTGCCCTTGTCAGCAAACTGGCTTTGGATCGTTCAGTACTTTCGGGTAATACTCTGCGGCACCCAACTTTGCCGAAAGAGCGGCGTTGCGCCTTTTGCTGCTCCTCCTGGGTCCAACTGAAGGGGTTTCCCTGGTTTGGGCACAACTGAGTGAGGATCCCTGGTGTCCCTAGGCCTCCAGGGGGGGCGTGTCAACGGGGCATCGGCGCACTCCAGGGGGCGGTCATGCCTGAAGTCTTGAAGTTCCAGACGTGGTGGCTGGAGGGCGGCCGGCCCATGCGCTGCGACATCGAGTACCGGCCGACAACGAAGGCGTGCATCGCGAGGTGGGCTGCTGCCCCTCGAGACGAGCATGTGGCAGACAATGGCTTGCGCATGTTCACGCATCTGAGGATTGTCCCTTACCCACCATGTCCGGATGGAAAGGTCATGAAGGGTACTAGGGGCATGAAGCCCTGAAACCCAAGAAAATAATCACGACATTCTCAACACGAAAGTGACCTTCATGACCGCCCTGGCTTCATGTCCGGAAATGGAGAGTAGCGACATCTGAGGCGCGTCTGAATTTCCAAGGGCAACTGATCTGCAGTCAGATCTGCCTGCGCCAGCAGCCGAACCACCCGCGTGCCTCGATCGAATGAATTCGCGCTTTCGCGACGTGTTGTAATGGGCAGTGCCCACCCCCGCATCCGGTGCATGGAAATTCCATGGAAAAACGTTGCTTGCGCGGTATTTGTTTTTAGTCCATTTCATCGTACATGCATGGGATTCTATATGTTTTCAGCCAGTGCAATCCACCGTGCATTTACATCCCCGGCATTCAAACATCACTTTATGCAGGCCTGTTTCTGGTGTTGATTCAGAGGTGTAAGCCTGAAACAAAACTGCCAGACCAGAACGAAGCAAAAAATTTTCGACGAACCGCCTGCCAATGCTTCAATCATGAAGTGCTGTTGCGCAGTCAAGAAGAGAAGGCACGCAAACGAGGGTCTGACAAAACATGCTTGTGGCATGCTAACTTTCTCTCAAACAAACGTTGACATTTTTGAATATCTGCGAAGATATGGTCAAGATTTGAACACATCCAACAGATTTGGAAAGGCCCCAATCCCCTCGGCGGCAGCCGCCACAGCCGCTGTGGAATCATGGAAGGAACTGCCTCGACCGAGTTTCGAAAGCCAACGAAATCCACTCTTCTCGGACCAAACAGGCGCATGGACACGCTGGTACTTGTTGATGGGGAGCTTTCCACCCCTTTACCGGTGACCCCTAGTATTCAATATCCCCTGGGTTTCAATGTCCAATTTGGACATGACTCATACTCAAATTACGTAAAATGCTGAAGGTTACTCGAATTACACGAGGGCCTCGACCTGCAGACCGATTGGCATATTGAGTCCTTCCGATTGACGGCCCTGACTCGCTTTGCCGAATCTGGCCCTTCACCATCCGAAGCGATGTCTGCTGCAGGCGCAATACGCGCGATGTCCATGCGTGTGGTTATTGACCAAAATCCATGTGAGCGCTGCGCGTGCTCCCCAGCCTGGCCAGCTTGGTGAGCCCCAGCTGGATGCCAGTCACTAGGGGAAGCTAGCAACAGATGTGTGCCTGGTTCAGGGAGAAGCGGAGGTTAGTTTTCCACCGCCACATCTGTCTCCCACCGCCCCCCATCTTCACCCATCTTGGTCACTTCCGCGTCTCCTCCCCCATCTCGTGCTCCCGCAGCACCTCTCCTTTGAAATTCCCACAATTGGGCCGTTCACTGCAGTTGCAAATATTGAAATCCAAAATCGCGTTGGATCACAATAGACTCATTACGAGCCTGCTTACTCAGACAGCCGCAACGCGGTAACGTTGATGCAGAGCAGCGGCTTACTAATGAGGACAGCACTGTCATGAATTGGGGGCCTCAGTGGACTCGCAGGTTCAGCGCCCCAGTTTCCGTCAAGGTCGCGAGCTTGGCGGGAGTGCCGGTGGAGTCCCACGACCTGTACGTTGGCGCCATGGTTTCCGTGCTGCAGAGGAATGTCGTTCTGAAGAAGGTGACTGGGATCGCCGTCGCAGGGGGCGCAGTCTGGAACCATCCACCTTAACTGGACAAAGTTAAGGCGTGGCGCGGTGCTGAGGGGTCAAGAGACAAATTGGGGGCAAACACGCCAAATGCAGGAAATTTCCCTCGTCACACAATTTTTGCTAAAACGTATGCATAGCATGCTGTGAGCATGCGTTATGTCCATTTATTTTGTGATGGGGTGAAATCGTGTGTAAATCGTGTTTGAAATTTTATCTCTTTGACGGTGGGAGCAAAACCGTGCTGTATTGGTCGTGCGTCAGCGCAGCTCATGCAGCCGCGGATTGGGCACCACTCACCGCGGTTGGGTTGTCGATGGCCATTGTCACTAGGAGAAAAAGGCCCAAATAACACTTTTGCGAACACAAATAAAACACATTTCATCAAAGTTTTGCACGTTAAGAACACAAAAATAACGCAAACCCGTAAACTTTGTACACGTTTCAACACGTGTTATTTGGCACCCTTTTCCTAGTGTGTACTGCAATCACAATTGCCCATCGATAATGGCATTGGCTACAAATCAATGCCATTACCCATTACCCATTCTCTATGGGTAATGTTGCTGGTTTGAATGCCTGTCAATTGTAAGAGCAATGAATTACATATGCCCTCCCATTGTTGCCCCTTGAAATACATTACAACGGGAAAGCAGCCAACTTTGAATTTGCATTTTGTGATGTACACCATAGAACATTAGTATAGCTTCAAATGCATGATGACATCGGAACAACGCTATACTATCCACAAACGCTCCTGGGTGAGAGCACCTGCTCTACAGGAATTCCTGTGGCAGAAGGACGGGTGTTGTTCTCAGACGGGTGTTGCTTTTAGGACGGGTGCAGTGTTGAGATCTAGGATTCTTTTGAATTCTGTGTCGCTCTGTATACACAATGGGACACACAATGCTTTTAACAGTGCACCACATTTTGCAGCGCTACTCGACATTAACATTCTTGGTTTCAACTCCTGATACAAGTGCACAGGAATTGAAACATTGCACAGATAACTCCTCAGCAGCGCACGTAGCCATATTTTCCACTTCCCAACACTGTTAGTATGTATGCGTCGAGCTATTAGAGCTTATCAACAAGGAATCGCACTTCGCGAGGAGTCGGTGGAGTGCTGTAAAGTTCTACTGCGCGTCTGTGCGGAGTCACTTCGCAAACCCCCCAGCAGTGTTATGAACGAAGGTGACCGCCTCGGCCTCGCGACACCCAAGCGCACCACACGCCAGACTGGCATGTCACATGCCAAAACTTTCAAACTTCCAGGAAATACGGTGCAACGCACTAATATACAGTGCCACGTAGAAGTCAGCGTAATGCCACTTTTCCAAAACAGCGTTCAGTGACAATGCTCACAGGCCGACCTTCGCACACAGCAGTGGCTGGACTGCGAGGCGCATCGACTGCTCGCCACGCGGTCTCGATTGGAGGACCGCCTGTCCAAGTTCGCTGTCAGGCCCCTCACTCCCTCGCGGCTGGCGCTGCCACATCGCATGCACGCGCACGCGGTGCACGACGGGTACCAGACAATGGGAGGCAGGGTGCGTGCAACAAAGTCTGGCGAATGTGCAGGTGGCACTGATGAGGCTTGTCATCGAAGCCACGGCTGGCTTGCACGATTTGGTCCGTTATCCAAATCCCTTAAAAAATGCGTTGAGAATGCACGAGTTTTACAACATGCCAAGTATTTTCTTTCGTCGAATACCAATGAGTATTTGGCCACGATGTATATGTTGTGTGAAAATATGTGAAGCGCACAACTATTTCCGGCCGAGGTGCTGCATCTGCACGTGGGCGTTACAACAGAAAGAGGACTTGGAAAGTTGCCGTGATGCGTACGTTGTGAGCGGGCTTGACTGATGGCTGTCAAGACAATCGGAGCGGCGAGATTTAGAGGCTGATGAGTGTAGCACTATTCTGAAAACAGCAGATTTGCACAAGGCGTGCGTTGCTAGGGAAGGATGGACAGCAGCCTCTTTGCTCAAATATGTGTTGGAGCTTCCAACGCGATTTTGCTGGAAGTTGCGCATGCACTGCTCGAGTACCAGAGGCATACACATCCCCGCGGGGTACATTCTATCGCCAACTGTGGCTCCGGCTTGAGCACTTCCAGTTTCGAATTTCAAACCGGGTTGTTTCTCGAAATTGCCCCATCATGGATCGTTCTTGGGCTGCGGTTTCTTTCTTCCCTGGAATTCTGCCCTATGTCAGGCACTCAGGAAGAACATATACAATGGCGCAGCGATGCACAGAGCGCTATGGATAGCTTTCTGCGGGGAATGTACCATAGTTTGAGGGCTGCTTTGGGGGAACGGAGCAGCCGGGTTGAGCATGGCGCACTTTCCAAGAAAACCCACACGCACTACTCATTCCCCCCTGCCAACTCTGGACCTCTGGTCTGCTAATCAGTGATTGGAAACCACGCGCGCTCTGTCCTCCTGCCGGTGCAGTGGACATGTGCGAAACGACAAATTGCTGTTGCCTGTTACCGTTCCCACTCCCAAAGCTGCCTTGGCAGGGTACTTGGAGTCTTAACAGAGGCCATAACTTCATGCAGGTCAACCTGCGGCGCTTGGCAACCGAGGTCAAATGCTTGGTGCGGCAGCTAAAGCATTACAAGAAAGAGGGAATAGGAACCGCTGCGGATGAATGCGAACCATCGGTAAATTCACCCTCCGACATTCTCGATTGTAATCAGGCACCATTGCGGCATGCTTGCACATCTGGGCCATATTTCTGACGCGTTGTAATTGTCGCATTTATGATAGAAAGCGGAAAACAGCAGCGATATTCCCTGCAGTTGCATGTATGCACGTGCAGGGAACTCCTTATTTTTTCGCTATATAGCGAGGATATATATATCCTCATAATTTATAGTCATCAGAATGCAGCGAAACAACAATAGTAAAATTAAAATTTGTGATTTCTCCATTTCGGTTATTGGCCGTTGGAGGTTTGAGATCTCACTCCAAAACTGCTCCAGGCACGAAAGTGGTCTCGCTGCATTCCCATGGGAACTCTAGACATTCGCGATGTTCTGTTTGCTGTTGCGTGCATTTCCTTCTCTGTTGTGAAATTAGAAACTAATTCCAACGGCATGGAAAAATGTCAAAGAATGTTCACATGATGAGATTACGGAGCTCGTGGCGCACGTGTCTTGTTCCCAACAGAAAATTCTCAGCGCCATTGTCCACTTCGTCAGGCCCTGTAGGCCACCAATCCAGGCTACACGCATGCTAGCAGTTCAAAGCGCAGTCAGACCGCATACTCCAAACATTCAATCACGTGTCCATTTTCTGTTCTCGCCAAATCAATTTTACTCTCGTGCTGGAGGGTCGAAAACCTCGATATCCGGAGGAAGAATTAGTTTTGGGGCGGCCATCTGTTTTGCGCGTGGCATTGTCACTTAGCACCATGCACACGGCGGGCGAACATCAAGAGAAGCGGACACCATATCCTGCAACCTCAAGTTCTGACTTGAATCAGCAAATGCAGACATCTCGGACCTGGGCCATTGGAGCCGCACGACAGCAAGAAATTTTGGCAACGGCGGCGAAAGTGGAGCATCAGAAGGCCCCCAACCCGTTGGCGACACCTCCCACGACACAACGGGAAAAATTCATGTCTTTCAACTACTTGAAGTGGCTTCAGTCAATCCCCCTGGCGGCATCGGCGGCGGCCAGCAGATGTGGCGCTGTCTGAACAGTGGAACATCATGAAGGCGGACATGCAAGTCTTCGGATGTGGTTAGCTTTGGCTTCGCTTTGGTAATAGCGCCTGCATGGAAGCCGGGTCAAAGAGCTCGAGGGTGGCAACGCAGTGCAGCGGGTAAATGATATCGCACACCTCTGTTCATTGACGAGGACATCAGTGGGGAGGGCCCGGGAAGAAGCACTGCAACTTTGCGTTTCAGGACTCAGTAGAATCGATAGAAATTCGCTGTTTGTGTTGATACTTGGAACACCCTACAGCGCCGGAAGCTGATTAGCTGGCATTCTAGCCTAAAAAGGGCATAATGGGCCAGCCCAAAAGCCATTCTTCGTCGACCTGCCACTGCGTATTATGTAGTTTCGTTGAACGAAAGAGCGCAGACACTAGGGAAAAAGGCCCAAATAACATGTGTTCAAACGTGTACGAAGTTCACGGGTTTGGGTTATTCCCGTGTCTTTAGCTTGCAGAACACTTATAAAATGCATATGTATGCGTTCGCCACAAGTGTTATTCGGCCCTTTTCTTGCCAGTGAAAGCGAACAGGAAACTCTGTGCAAAACGCGTGCCTGGACATACTCGTTTCATAGTGCCCTTTTATGCAACCAGCGCGTGCATGGCTCCATCAGATGGGCTCCAATTGTGAATTCGCAGCAACATGGCCGACAAAACAAACCAGCGGGCCACCACCTCGCCTTGAAATGCATCTGCACGGACTGGAGTGACACAGCCGAGACCGTCAGAACGAGACCCCGAATCGCACGGCCGAAACGTTGCAATCGCGTCCGTCGCCACCCTCGACGCGCCCTCCCAAAATTGTCCTCTCCCACGCCCTCAGAGGGCCCTGCTCTTTCTCAAATACTGCTGCGCCTCCTGGTTCCGCGTGGACAGCCTGGATATCAGCTCGCTGGTGTTGCGCACGCCGATCACGGGCAGCCCCTCCTCCGGCCCCTCCCCGAGTCCACCGAACAGCCGCGAGCTGACGTCACCATGCCCCGGGCCCAGCGTCATCCTGGCGAAGCTGCCGCCTAGCTTGTCGGCGCCTGCCGCCCCTCCCGACGCCACGCGCTGTTTGCCTGGCTGCCCGGACCACGAGCGCGCGAGGTTGTGCGGTGCCGCGCGGTGGGGGCTGGAAGACGAGTTGCCCTTTGAGTGGGCCTCGCGCGGCTGTGGCTGCGTCTGTTGGGAGGGGGATGCTGTCGCTGGCGGTGTTTGAATGGCGCGCAGCGGACCCTGGGCTGGCTGGGATGCGAGGCTGGCAGCAGGGGCGCCGGAGTGGGCTTGAGGGGGCGCCTGTTGCTGTGGCTTGGAGGCGGCGGACTCCAGGAGCTTCACGCGCGTGTCCATCAGGGTCAGCGAGGCTCGGAGGTCCTCCTGGTCCTTGGAGGTCTGCGCCCTGAAACGCCAAGCGCTCGCTGAAGTCAGCTGAATAAAGGTTGATTACCATTCACGGACGCTGATGAGAAAAACCTAGAGTATTTCCATGAAAACTGGCACTACGTTATTGGTATACTGTAGGCATGAATGTTGGTATTGGCACTGACATTAGCACCAGAACTATTTGCAATATTACCAATAGTATATTCTCATTCACTTGCACAAAAAAAAATCTGATTCGGAATGGGCAATGCTAGTTAACTGCTCAAGGGCAACGCTGTTCTCAGCATTCGATTATTCCCAAAAATTGAATGGCGGCCGTTCTCTGCTGGGACATGGGATTTGCATTCAATGCACGTCATTGTGAATGTGGCAATTTGCCACATTCATGACACAGGCGATGTTTTGTAGCCGGGCTCGAATATGTGCAGTGCGATAAGAATACGGGACAAACTTCCTTTTGGGGAAAATTCATCTGTTGTTTTCAGCAGCAGCGCTGTTGTGCAGCATCCAATATCCTTTACTTGGTACTTCCATGCAGCTATTGTGACTGTGGATATCACTGCAGATTATCAGAATTTTAGTCATCATGCTTTCTTTTGAACATTCAAGGCAAGTGCCAACCTGAGGCTTCCCACTCTGATTGTTTTGGATTCTCTTTCCAAGCACGATTGCCTTGCATATGTTTCAACAGTATATAAGAACTGTATTGGAACGCTTGCTGAATTCACATTTCACAGCGATTCACGAGTTTTGATGGAAAAGAAACAAATTTTTGGTTCAAAATATGGCGCACTCGCGGCGCCAGTGGCGGATGCAGCTCAGCCACATCCACTGCCTCTATGCCTGGACATGCCAGGGTTATGATCGCCTTCGAAGTGCTCAATATGCGGCCTCTAACACCACAACCCACAGCTCCGGGAGCCCTGCCTCTCAGAGCGCCCACCTTGCCTCCTCCAGCGCGGCCTGGGTGGTCGACAGCTCCATCCGGCAACTCGCCAGGCTCGCTCTGGCCTCCGTGAGCTCGCCCCTCACGCCTTCCAGCTCCGACGCCTGCGCCCGCAGCTGCCTCCTCATCTCGTCCAGCCGACCCTCGACGTCCCCCCCCCTCCCCCCGACGCCTGCAGCCTCTCTCCGCTCATCCTCCCTTTGTTCGCCCTGCCTCTCCCACGGCGATTCTGCCCCTTGGCTGGCTTCGGCGCCGCATGCCGCGGAACCCAATCCTTCGAATCCCTCCCCATTGCCATCCGGACGACGATCGCCCGACCCCAGCTCCTGGTCTCGCGCCCCATGACTCATGCCCACCCACACGGGTGGTGCATGATCAGAATGCGGCGCGCCCACCGGCCCAGCCCCCCGATCTGGCGGGGCGGCCTCCGGTCGTCTGCTTTGGCGGAAGACGTCAGATGGATTTGGTGGAGCGGGCATGCCGGCGCGAGGAGTGAAGGGGTCCCACGCCGGCCCAAGGCGGTCGCCCGACGGGAAAACAGTCCCCAAAGGGGGAGCCTGGGGAGGCCCCCACCACTCCCCCGTAGCCTCATGCATGCCAGGTGGCCGATCCACGGCGGGTCCACCGGGGTTCAGCCATGGTTGATTAGGAAGAGGGGCAGGCGCCTGCTGACCAGGCCACTGTGGCCAGACGGGTTCCTGGGGTGTCTCCTGCCCCCACTGCCACACTGGACCCAACCTGCCAGAATGAGGTTGACCCATGCCGCCAAAGTTAGGCTGATCCATGCTGCTGGCTTCTGGTTGAGCAGTGCTGCCCGCCGGTGGTTGAGCTGGGCTTGGGCCAGGAAGGGCGGGTTCTCCGTGTGCTCTGGGGAGCCACTCGAATGCCCGATGGTGCGGATCGGGATGTGGGTGGAACTGCGGGGGTTGGTCAGGGCGCTGGGGATGCAGTTGCGGCACTTGATCCAGTCGCTGGGGGTGGGGGCTGCGCGGGTCAGCATGCAGTGCGGCCCCATTGTGCCCGACGGTCGCTTTGGGCGCCAGGAAAGTGGGAAGGTGGGGATTTGGCCAGCCTGTGCAAGGCAACACTGAAAGAAATTGGCACCATTCACAGCTGAAAATGGGATCCTATGCTATTGTGGCACAAACTGTATGGGTGGAGGAAAGTAAACAAAAAGGAGGGGTAAGCAGCCGTGGCGCTGCTAATGTCCTCATGCATTAGAGGGTACTGGAAGCAAATACTGGATGAAAGAATGACCCTTAGTAGTGGTTAAGAAAAGCAATCCTGAAAGATCGTTGGCCACACATGGAAAGAAACAGGAGGGAGAACTGGAGTCCATTGTGGGTCCATTGTTGGTTCAAGAGATACTTGAGACCTGGCTTGAGAGGTTATCCTTCTCTCATGCCACAATTGGGTGCACAACCGTCACAGTTGCTTGTACAGATGGTGCACTTTTCGATCACTCCAGGGGGAACACTACACAAGCCCCTCGTGAGCCCTATTGCCTCAAATTTGCTCAAAGAGAAGGGCCACGTGCTGTGCTTTGGAAAATCTTTCAGGCTGTGGTTCCAAGCAATAGTGGCCTTGCATTGCGCATTGTATCGAGAAAGATAAGCCAGCGGCACTAACTGTGACAAGCTTGGCAATAAACGAATAATCCATGATGCTTTAACATCAACAACAGGGGATATGTGTGACACAGCAAAGCTGCACAAGTCACATTGGTTCACAACAGGTTGCCCCTGTTAAGATAGAAAATGACTGGACTGGTCACACCAATTCATATTTGTCTCTATACTTTATACCTATCTTTTTGCTGCCTCACCAACATTGTGCCAGTGCCATAGTGCACTGTCCGATGGTATACTGGACCCAAAGCAAGGGAGGAACAGACAGCCATGGACATCAACTTCGCCCAAAAAAACGTACTTTAATCCATGACATATCATACCCTTTTTCTATATTGTTGATTGTACTGAGTACAGGTTACAAAATTTGCCATATGTTGAACATCTGGTTTTGCAGATCGCAACAAATCACACAGAAACGTCTGAATACATTCATGCATTTGCACTCAATAATAACCTTTGTACCTGCGCCTGTGGGACGAGCTTCAGCATTCCTGTTCCACACGGGGTCACTCAAGGGCATTGTCGATTCGTTGCTAGTGCCAACATCCATGCTGTGGAGGTCTTGCCACTTCGATGGACTGCCCGTGGAGATGCCACTGGATGTAGGGTGGGTCACTGAGAAAGGGAGCCTGGCATCCATGCCAGCCACAGCCTCTGCAAGCGAGCATAGCCTAGAGTCACTGGCCGCAACACCGACAACACATCTTTAATGAGCTTGGTTGCCACTGTGTGGATGCAGTTGAGATGCTGGAATAGTCATAACCATCTCCTTCAGTTCATTCCACTCCATACACTTCAGACATCCGAGGCTATTTAAAAACAGAGAGGCAACAGAGGGGGCAACAGAGGGGGAACAGAGAGACATACTCAGGCAAGAGGGAAAGTGGTTGATTTGCAGCAAGAGATGGAATGACACACAGCAGGCATGGTTCCATATAGGGAGACTGAACAAACGTGATTTTTGTGCTGCTGTGCTGGTCAGCATCAAAAAGGTGCAGGAACTTATTATTCCATGTCTTCTTAATGAAATCAGGGGTACTCAAGACATAGCGTGTTGCCATGAACAAAGTAGAATATTGGTGGTACTGCTGCAGTTTACGCTGCTTCAAGTGTTCAGTCAATACCGATTCTTTGATTGTGCAATGGCATCTGAGTGTCATGAGCTCTAGGGAACGGCCAAACGCACAATAGAGAGCTGCTTTATGCACATTCCACAAGGCAAAATTGATTGAGCAAGCTAATTGAGGTATATCATCAAAAATGGACAGGGAGACCTCCCAGACACATGTCAGAGAAGACAAACAGAACCACTTTTCGTCTTATCGAGGGGATACATTCCATCAGTCATTGTTGTATTGATGGCAGGTGCGGACACCTGTCATGGAATCCACAGGTCGGAATGAACTTGCAGCAATCCACAGGTGCAAGACCTGAGACAAAAGTGACGTGTTCTGTCTAGCAGTTGCAGTCATCCCCCGTCCTTTTTGTGAATGCCTGCATACAAGCCCATACAAAAGGAAGCTGCCAGGACCTTTCCTTCTGCTGTGCTTTGAAGCAGCTCAACGCCAAAAAGCGTGTGTTCCGCATGTACAAAGATTGAACTTCTCACCTTGTTGCTCCACAGTCTCATCTGTCTGACAAGATGTGGAAAGCAGATCGGCAAAGGCCTTTTCCAGCATTGCATTTTTTGCCCCCTGGAGAACTGCTGTCTCAGGATTGTGCTGCTTGGGCTGGATATCCTGCAGGTGACACAACAGCTATTCAAACAGACGAATCAGTGCAATACTCAGCTTCACCTGACCCCAAGCCGGATTTTCTTTGATATGAAATTTGTCCCGGGAAAGCAATGGCAAGTCGATAATTTGCCAGCCACAAGATGTCTGCCCTGCATTGAATGAGCCCGCAGGAGTGCCACCCACCACGCTGAACTTGGTCTTTTGCTTCTTCTTCCCCGCATGGTTGGTTGTTTTGGAAGCACCCTGGTGTAGAAAACAGCAATCAAAGGCATGTCACAGCCCCATACATGGCCATCGGGACAGTGCTCATGCGAAGACCCGCACTGCTCTCCTTGATCAATCTGCCAATAAGGATTGCATTTCAGGGCGAGGATTTGGGAGATGGTGGGCTGTCCAACACGCCTCTGGGAATATCTTCAGTCTGTGGTCACCTTTCTGTTCCTCCTGCCGGTCGCCGTCAGCCTCTGCTTCCTCACCAAGTCGTTGTGCCGCCTCTTACACACCTGGAGCAGCTCGATCAGGAGAAGCACCTTCCTCTCCGCATAGCCCTGCGGATGCAGATGCAGCTTTCAGCTTCCAGGCGATGCCCGGCAGTAGGCCATAGAGTGTGGGTGGGTCGCAAGCTTTCTGTGCACTTGTTCGTCAGCGCATGCAAGATGCAGGGTCCCCGTTTTCTCTAGTGAAGGCAAATGTGGCCAAAGCATTAAGGTTCCCCGCTCAGCTTGAGGAAAAGGCTGCAAGCGTCTAGCATCGGCATCGTTTACGTCCTGGTTGTTGGTCTTTCGAGCAGCACGCGCACCTGTTCCAGAAACTGCCCCGGCGTGAGCACCAGCCTCATGCCGAATATGTCCCTCATGACCTTGAACGCGCACTCCACAAACCGCTGGTCCGTCTTCCCTTGAATCTGGCAGCCACGGGCAGGACCAGATTCAATTCCCTCCCTTCGCTGGAACCAACAGACTGTTCACTTCGCCCCGGAGCAAAAACACGTCCAGAGCCCACAAGCGCGCCCACGTCCTCTTTCCGCTTCGATGGGCACCGTTGGTCGGCCGTGGGCATGCTTCAGAGGTGGTCGCTGGGGACAACAGCCCACGCAAAACGTGCGCCGTCTGCGGATCCCCCGACCCGCCCTCACCTCGTAGCCGTGCTCGCTGACGTCCCTGGCCAGCGCCCTGGAGAACTTCAGCAGCACGTGGTGCAGCACCGGCAGGAACGCCACCGGGTCGCCAATCCTCAGCCTGCATGGCCCCAACGGCACTCAGCGTCACCACCCTCCTCCACAGAAGAGCTCCAGGCGCCCCCCGCTTGGCGCACCGCGATCCAGCCCCTCCAACTCACCCTACTTCGTCCACATCGGCGTCGAATTTGATCTGCCGCAGCTCCCGCTGCAGCCTCTGGACGTTGCCGCAAATGTCACCCGTGGCCATCGTCGGATCGAGCGTTGCACTCCGGGAGCCTTCGATCGCCGGTGCTCCCCTCCAGAGGTGGCCGTCGGGGCGTCGGTCGTTTGGCAGGGGCGGCCAGCCGCTGCGCGGGGGCGCCGCCCGCTTTCGCGCCAAGGCCGCGCAGATTTCCGTGGGCCTCGGGGACCGGCGAGGAGTTTCTGTCGAAAGGGCGGGCTAGTTTCCCCGTCCATGAGTTTAATGCGTGGGGAATCGGCGGGTTCAGATGACCCTCCACGTGGCGTGGTGCACTGATGGCTGTGGCATGTTTTCTTCGCGGTTGCTGCTGTTGTCAATTGTTGTTTCTGTCACTACTGTTAAGTGCGTTCACTAAATCAACTCTGCTTCCAGAAATCTAAGCAAATGTGTCTGCCTTGTGCCACTTTCAGTGATGTAAGAAATGGGAGAAGAAGTCGGTGTTTTCGTGGATGCTGAATAAGTACACAGTCCCATATGTGCAGGTGGCTGTGGCTTGATCGCAGTAATGTCAGAATGTTGGAATGTCTGAGTGCAGCAAGAACTGTCACATGGTAGTTTAGCACCAGTTTTCGTTATTGTTTACCCTTAGTGTCGTTGTTCTTCACCATGATCTGTTCCCATTCCCTTCATCTTTACCGAGTGATGGGCGGCGACATTTCCTCATGGTGGGGTCTGGTAGTGTGTAGTGGCGTCTAGGAAGACAGTTTTTTTTGGCTCAAACGATCTAATCCACAGCCCTGTGCAGGCTGCTCCACAAAAGGGAGTAAATGGAGGCTTTACATAGCCTTGCACTTACTTGCTCGGGCACAAGGCCCACATATCTTGTGACAAGACGGGGGAGGCATCTGGACACTGAAATGTGATGTAATAGTTTGGAATCACAAAATTGGGAGTAGCAAGGTCGGGCGTTTGCAACTTGGAACAACAACGCCGCTCTGGCGTGAAATTTAGAGCGTCAAGCGCTGGGTATGCGACGTTTTCTCCAAAACTGCAAGAGGCCTCGTGCGTTGGGCCGTCAGACACCAGGAATGGCATCACGCCCCACGTTGTGGTCACATTTGTCGTATTGCGGGTTGCAATGTGCTGACATGACAAGGTAGACAACAATATTGAATGAAGAACCAGCCACACAGTGTGTTCATCACCCCGGTTGGCTGCGTCTGAGCTGTTTAACGTCAGCTGGTTCCTCATTCGAATCTGTTGTCAATAAAGGCATTCCCTTTCGTTGTTCTCTACTTGCAGCTTTCCTTATCCGCCACATCAATTCTTCTGCAAAACGACGTGCCATCGAATCTGCTGTCGACCCGAACGCCACACTTCGACACTGACAAACAGTCCAAGGTGCACCCCTGCTCTTTGCGTCACGTGACGAGAGAAAACATAGCACTCAGAGAAGCAACACGGACTTGGAAAGAAATGCAAGCGTATGACAAGGCCGCTCAGATGCTCCCTTCGCACCATATGCCAGTCAACATGGCCGACAGTAAGAGGTCCGGACACGGAAGCAGGAATCACATCACTGCAGCCATCACTCAAGCCGCGTTGGGTTTGCAGAATAGCCACAACGGCGCAAAGCGAGCTGTGAAACGCAGGGCAAACAAGCGGACCGCAGCTCATGGTGTTGATCACTGCGCTGCACCGCAATCAAGGACTGGAAAAGTACAATGCACAATTTTGACAACGTTGCATCAGCAACGCATTACCATGGTGCACTCTGCCCAAAAGAGTGCTCAATGCAACCCGTCATTGACCGACAGGCTGTCTGAAACTCTGTTCAGCCAGCAGCCACTTCAGTGACAAAGGGCACTGACGGCAGTGCAAGGCGCAGTCCAGGCAAGAGACGCTGAGCGCTTGCATGCCAGGGTTCACCAGGAAGGGAAGTGTCAAGAGCCATAAATATCCAGATGCTAAATAAAAATTCCTTGCTTGCTTGTACATTTAATCTATCAGGTTTCGTTTCGTTCAATGGGTCTCCCTCCCCAATGGACAGGAAGGCAGCAGGATCGAAAAAGACACATGAAGCCATTCATGACATGGTTTCTTCAGAGCGTAGGTACTCGCCTGCATTGACACAACACACGGAAGCACGTGCTTCAATGTGGACACCATGCTGTCAACAGCAAAGACGAAAATATAATGCACTCAGGTGGCCAAATCGAAATATAGCTATTATTGCCATGGTGTCTTTACGCTGGACAAACAGAGCTCCTGCCGTTACGAGTTAGACATCGGCTTGTTTGCCACAAGTGTGTTTCCCATTTGTGCAAGACAGTCGCTGATATCAGGTGTCGACCACTGGTGGACAGGAACCCGGAAAATATGTGTCATCAACTCTTGATTGAGCAAGGGTGGCACCCTCTCCAAGTGATGTGTGCTGTAAGCATTGAAGCAGGAAACGACGACTAGGCACACGAGAGCTACTGCTGGCTGCTTAGTGGGCAACGGAATCGATAGTTGTCGGAAAAGGCAAGTTGCATTCGTGAATGCCGCCTGACAGGTGGCAGTGGGCAGCTCTCTGTCACGCTTGTGAGAAATGCAGATTTGCCAAGCACCTCCGAAGACAGCCCTTACCAACGTCTGCTTGGTGGAAGGCCACAACGGCAGTGGGATCCAAAGTCTTGCACTCGATGGTTGACCTTGCCATCACCCCAAAGCCCAGGGGCACATCGGCCATGTTAAAAATGACAACGCCAGAGTACGCGGCAGTGTTGTCTGTTATCCGTCCCAGACCAGCCTTCAACACATTATTTCCATAGAGGAACTGCAGTTCTGAGGAGGGCTTTAACCAGATCTGAGGAAAACATGGGCACAAGCACAGCATGCCAAATCTTAGCAAACTGTCCCTGTGCCACCAGTTGCTGACCACAGATATAAATCGGGCCCCACTCTCGAGAGAGCGATTGAAGCCAAGTCGTGCCGTCTTTCCAAGGGGAGCCCCAAGCCCAATTTGCGGTGTTGTGCACCTCAATCAGCTCTCAGAAACAGCAAACAATGCACTCTTCAGGTCGTCAGATTGAAGACCGAGGCGTGGCATAGAAACTTCGTCATCGAGCTGCAGGTGGACGCACAAGTACCGTGGCACCCAAAGCACAGGAGAAATCGCCAGTGGGCACTCCACCTGGATCCTCAGTGGAAAGGTGATACAGTTGGGGTCACCCCACAAAGTGGTCCCGGAAAGCTGTGAATTCATCGTCATCGGAAGGTGGGCATTAAAACAAAACAATCTTCAACCTACACGTTACGCAGGTGGAAAAGAAGCGCACAACAGTCTATCACCAGGCCTTGCCTCTGAAAACAGCATTCATCTCCTCAGTTGAAAGAAGACCCGATATTTGACATCATATATTGTCAGACAATCGTGGTTGACATCACTGGAGACAAAGCACCAAGCACTGGCACCGGCCTGTTCATGCCCAGCGGCAGCATCGGCCACCCACCTTGTGTTTCGCGTGCTGCGCCAGCAGTTCAAGAGCCCCCACGGTCAAATGGAATTTCCCACCGTGCGTGATCTTGCCAATGCCCGTCCCAAGGGCCACAAGATTGTCCCTTGCAATCTGCAGCGCAGCATCTCACCTCAGACCGCAAAACGTCCACCACGTCGACCTTTGGCCGGTCTCCTGCACCAACCACCAATTGGCTTGGACGCGTGCATCGTCCAGCCGCCAGGACCATCAACAGATGGCAACTGCCAATTATCACAAACAGATCAATCCACAACCACTGTCGATATGCCGGCTGCACCCAGGCAGCTGAGGTGGCCCGGGCGGTGGTAAAGAGGGGAGAGGGTTTGGACGGGGCGGCCGGGGGCGAAGCGGGCTCACTGGCGCGGCCTTCCTAAAGAGGCTCTCCCGCATGTAGTACACCCGGTTCTTGTGCAGGCGGAAGCAGTGCGCCTCGTCCGACCGCTCTACCAGCGCCTTCAGGTTCTTCCCCACGTACTTATACAGCTTCTCGAACACCATCTTGGCCTCCTGTTCCCACCGGCAAGCCAGCGACGCCAAATCAGCCGGCGGCGCGATCGCCAAGGCAGCCATCGCCACAGCCGCGTAGCTCCTCCCACCTCTTCGGTGAGCGGCCTCATCTCCAACCGCGGCCCGCCGGGTGGAGCCGACGGGGTGGAGGGTGGGGGCGGAGACGGGGCGGGCTAGGAGGCGGCCAGGGCGGCGCCTCTCTCGGTCACCCTCCCCAACACGGCCAGCAAATCGACTGGAAACCGTGCAGAAGCATTATTGCTAGGGCCCTAATATTAGGGCCACGGCTGCACACGAGCGTAAAGTAGTGGAAAGGGGCGTACAGGTGCACAAGCGTACAAGCGCACAGGGTCGCGTAAAGTATTGGAGATGGGGAACAAGCGCAGGGCCCGATGGTGTGCAACCGGCAAAGCGCACAACTGTCCAAGTGTGCGCTAATGTACAAGGGTAGGCAGTGTAATTCGAAAGCTGGTCACCATCACGTGCCACCCCTTCCGGGGTTTTCTGGGGCCTTCGTCACGCGCACGCCCCCCCCCCCTGGCTCAACCAAGTCACCCCCTCGTCCCGCCACCTCCCCCAAACGCTGCCTCACACACTACTAATTCACCGCTTCCGCCCCCTGCGGGGAAGCCGCCACCCCGCAGTACAACGCAGCCACTCAAAACCACAGCTCCGCCTCGCCCCGCCGCTCAGAGCGCCGGCGCCATGGCAGCGGACGGCGTGGCAACGGCACCCCGCCTGGGGTGGGCGCAGCCCGGCGCCAGATCCCATCATCCCCCCCTGGGCGCCGTCAGAGACGGCCCCCTGCGCGCGCACGTGGCGTCACAGGTGCTGCTCCTGCTGCAGCTAAAGGGCCACGGCGGGCGGGATGGCGAGCTGAGCGGGCTGGTGGCGCGGTTGGAGGAGGCGCTGTACAGGACGGCGCGGTCGCTGGAGGAGTACGCCGACGGGCGCACGCTGGAGGGGAGGCTGAGGAGGGTCGCGGAGGCGCTGCTCAGGCGCGCGCGCAGGGCGGAGGCGAAGTCGGGGGGCGAGTCGGACGGGTCGGGCTCCGAACTGCTGGGGGGGCCCGTGGTGGAGTGATCGTGATTGCGACTGTGATCGAGGCGGTGGAACGTGGGGGTGTTGGGTAGAAGGGTGTTTAAGAGATTGGACTGCCCTCTTCCTTGCCCCCGGCGGGGCGGTTTGGTAGAGCAGTGGGACATGCCACCCAGAGGCGCCCGGTTCGATCGGCGGTTAGACATCCTCTTGCCGTCAGCACTGAGACGGGGGGGTGGGGATTGGTGTGAGGTGTGGGGGGTGAGGCGGCTGGGCAGTGAGGAGTTGCGTTGAAGCTTCGCCGGTGAAAGGAACCCTGGACGGTGGAGCGAAGCTCCGGCCAGGGGAGTTTTGAGCGTGGGGGCCTGGGGGTGTGCGGAGGCCTTCCGGGTGCGGGGGGGGCGGGTGGGTGGGCGGCGTCGTTTTCGCGATGGTTGGAAAGGAACGGGGGGTGGCTGGCGGCACGGGCGGCGACGCGGGGGGGTGGTGCTTGTTCGATGGCCTTGGCTTCGAGCAGCTATTGGCCCGGTGGTCGGTGGGCGCTTTTCCCGAAAGCGGTCCCCAGGCGTGGTGCTTCGTGATCGCAATCAACAGTGGACTTATCTGAATGGGCTGTACCAACAATCAGGCACCTTCAAGAACAAGTTGTTCTGAACTTTTTTTATTCTTGATGGATAAGGACCATGTGGATGCCGTGTCCCACTGGGGCTGTGTGGGAAGAGGCGCCCACGCTCGGATCGCAGGGTTCTGTTGGAAGTGCTGGGAGAAGACAGTTCCAGGCGGTTTAGCAGCGGTATGTGTGCAGTGCGACGGATCGCGCTCGGTGATTCTCATGCACATGGGAATTCCCGGGCTTGACGCGTCAGCCACCAGAACTGCGAAGGGAAGGTATCAAGAACACTACATGCAGTTGCGGTTGTTAAGAAATTTGATCTTATTTTGCAAATCAACCTGAATGGTGTGCCAACACTTTGGAATAAGTGCGAATGAGGTGTCGCAAAACATGAAAATTATGACGTACTTTACTCGGTTTCATTGAGCACATTTAGCACTGAACAAATTTCGTGCGTGGCGTATGAAATCGTGCAATGCGGCAATGTTTGCGAAATGGTATCGGTGGTCGCATCGACGGCGAGTCATGGGCTGTCGCGTCAGTCTGAGATGGACAACAGTTGCAAGCAAACGAGTACAGGAAGCACGTGAAACGCACATTCTCTCCAGTCACAGCCTGGCCGAATCCACACCCACAAAACCGTGGGAGCTCATTGGAAACTCATAGACCCAAATTTCCCAACAAACTCTAGCAAGCTCCCCAGGTGTGCGCCTGCCCACAACCGGCTGTTTCTCAGGAGCGCTGGCGTGGGACAGCGATGCGCCAGCAATGCCCGATGCCCAATTGCCATGTGTCGATTTCATTGCTGCACTCATTGTGAGCAATGTACACATGAATTGTGACTCTCCCTGCGCCCCAAAATCGTGACGGCGGTTTCACTGGATACCAGCCGAATGGCACACAATAATGCATGAGTGCATCGTGACAACCAACACGAGAATACGGCACATTGGTCACGTGTCCCCACTGGACTCGGATCGTCTGACAGCGTTTAGTACCCGGCAGTGCGACCATGCAACGGAGAAGATCAGGGAGCGGATCGATGGCGAACCGTGGCCACCCCTCAGGGTCGAGCTTTGGCCACCCGATCCTAAGGCACGGGCGGGGAGGGGGCAGTGAATCCATGCACTGACGATCACATGGAATCCTACCTGCTGTCCTCAACCGTGGCCTCGCAGCGATGGCAGCAAGGGCCAGATTTGGCCCTGTTTAAGGAAGGAAAGGATGCTGACAGGCGAACGCGCTGACATTGTGGTCACACTGTCTTCATGGCCCGCAAAATGCACGCATGTTGGAAAAAGCATGGGCCCTATCATGACAATGTAACCAAAAATGCAGCAATGCAAACTGAGGCACCGAAACGCAAAAATAAGACGCCATGGTTGGTGACAACCCGCAACACGGCTGTGCAACTGGCCAAGCTAACACGCTTCAAATTGCGCGAAGAGGTCCCATATTCGCACATGATTGTTGGCAAATTGACGCTTTCAAGACGGATTGCAATTGCGGGCAACGAGCCATTGAGGCCGCTGAGAGTCGTCCCATTCCTCACGGAAAGTGCGCCAGGGCATGGGCGGCGACGGAGGGCCCCCGGTACTATCACACATGGCTTGAAAAGTTGATGACGTAGGGAGGAAGACAACCAATATGTGTTTCTTACATCGCTGGCACGCGCCAAAAGTCTTTGCAGCCTGAACAGCAGATGGTTTCTTGGCTGGCTCTGTGTGCCGAGTGCAGAGGTCGCACACGTCACCACACAGACCCCTTGTGAGAGTGCGCAAGCGTCCAATCTAATAGCATTACATCATGGGCAAAATTCAGTGCGCCTTCGCTTTGCAGGCAAGCGATGTTACCCATGTCCCTACAATCTCCCCAAGGTTCGTCAAGTTCGGCCAATTTACCCCGCCACACAGTGACCACGAGTTTAGCAACAGGCACAGCACAGCAGCGTGATGCGCCCGGCCCCCCTCCCCCAAGAAAAAGCACCCCGTGGTTTCTGAGCGCCACCGCCGTGGGGTAGGCTCCTCTCGGCCACACAAGGGGCCATCAGCTCTGGCCCCATCGTCACCCAGTCGCAGCCCCACCACCCGTACATACATTTTCAGGCAAGATTCTCCTGCACACTCGTCCAGCATACCATACACAATGCGGGGCCACAGGGCAGCCTTTGATCAGAAGGTTTTGCCATTCAATCACCTGGCCACGGCCTCAATCCATCAGACGTCCTAACCATTCCCTCAGCAGACACTCCTGCTTGCGCTGATCCAGTTGTGTGTCTGCCACCCCGCCCAGCTTGCCCAGCCAGACATACACTTCCCGCAGCTTTTGTTTCCCGTAACTCTTCAGTTCGTCCATGCACATCTGCAGTCACATAGGCACTCAATAACCATTGGCATGTCAAGCTCTCCAGACTAAACACCATGCCACAAGCATGAACAGTGTGGTCAGGGCAAACATCCCATCTGCCCCTTGAGTGCCAAACTCCTCTGCTTGGAGCTCTTGCATTCATAAACACTAGATCCATCCTTAGGCACTGGTTTATGAACACCTCATTTTGACACCTGGTCTCAACATACCCACAGGTCTATTCCCAAGTACAGGAAGATGCACTGGCAGATGCGATGCAGTAGTTTGGGAGGAGGAAGAGCAAGACACCGCACACACCTGGCATCGTAAGGATATCTGTCGTGCGATCTCCAGTAGCGCCAGCCGTTTGATGTTGCTCGAGTCCCCGTAAGGCTCATAAAACGTGGACCAACATGCCTTCAGTATGTACTTCGCCCTGTCCCCAACGAACTTGTCATCCAGCAGTGAGACGTCCACGATGTGTGGCACCATCCTCGGCAGGGCCTCCCCGCTGCTTTCGCTCAGCACCTGCACCAGCGACTCAACCACTGCGCGGCTCATGTGGCTGCTGTCCC